GCTGATAATGCTGAGGATTTGCAAACATTAATAGACCGTATAGTTGAAGACTGTGACAAATACGGCATGAAATTAAACTGTGACAGAAGACTAAAATTCTTGTAGTAAGTGAAAATGACGTAATACAGCACCAATTCACAGCTAATAATGAACCCTTGAAAATAGTCGACAAAATTACATATCTTGAATGTAGCCTAAATAAGGAATATGACCACTCACAGAAAATAACATGTCGTATAGAAAAGTCGAATTAGAAACGATTAGAAGCCTTCGAAATGTGGTGCTACCCCCGCATGCTCAGAATTTCCTATATCCATCCTGCTACAAGCAACACCATGATCCAACGTATGAATAAAGATCTGGGAATTATGCGTATCGTAAAAATCATAAAGATGATTACTTAGGCCATGTGATGCGCAATGAGAAGTATCAACTAATTCAACTAAGTTTTCAAGGTAAGGTAGAAGGCAAAAAAATATCAAGGACATCGTGGTTTAATAACATCAGACAATGGGCAGGAATCACTACCATACATCTATTTAGAGCAGCTGTCAACAAAGTTGTATGGATTAACGTGATTGCTAACATCCACAGAGGATAGGTACCAAAGAAGAAGAATACACAATTTTTCTGAAAACGCATATAAAACTCTTTATAATGAGAGTTTGTACAAATATTTTTGTCAATTCGTTGCTTAGTTATTGCAAAAATAGCTTCAAAGTTGATTTTTTGAAAATTATGAATATCGTTTCTGAAAATGCACAAAAAACTTTGATTTTGTTTGGACAATATCACAAATATTGTGAAATTGTTTATCCAAGAAAGCTTTTATTTACAACGTTATCATGCGTAAAGTATTAGGCCTACGTAAATTTGATATGCACTGTATTGGAGAGAAAGCCTTATTTTATCAAATTAAATTATTAAATGAATCAAGAACTTATGTTAAATATTGTTAAATAGGTTTGCAAAAGTACTATGATTTTAAGCTTATAATTAATATATATATATATATATATATATATATATATTATAATATATATATATATATATATATATATATATATATATATATCGGTTTAGAACGTCTTTCTACGTTGTCCGATACCTAAACACCATCTCTTCCTATCTTCGCAGTCGTTTGTTGTTAAATTTCTTTCGCTCGTGGACTTGTTTACGCCGTGTTGCCATTCTAATCTGGGTCTTCCTCTTTTCCGTCGACCTATCGGTTGCCATTCTACTACTTTTTTGGGGAGTCTTGTTGCTGGCATCCGTTGAACATGCCCATACCACCTTAATTGTTTCTTCTCTATATCTTGAGTTATATTTCCTTCTATTCCCATACGTTGTTTTATTACATCATTTCTGATTCGGTCTCGTCTGGAAATACCTAAAGATCTTCTCATTGCATCCATCTCTACTGCTTCTATTCGCTTTTTGTTCTTTTCACTAATTCTCCATGTTTCAGCGCCATAAAGAAGAGTAGTTTTAATCATGGTCTCATATATATTAAATTTTCTTCCTTTCGTTATCTCTTTACTCCACAGTATACCATTGAGACATCCTAAGACTTTCTTTGCTTGAGTGATTCGTTTTTCTATTTCCCGTGTATCAGTTCCTGTATTGTCAAAGGCAACACCCAAGTAGTCATAGCTCTGACAGCAGGAAATATGTTGTCCGTTTTCGAGGTCTATGTTATCTGACTCGTTTCCAATACAAAGATATTTGGTTTTTGTTGTATTGACATTCATTCCCCAGTCGTTATATTCTTCTATCAGTTTTCTAAGCATGTACTGCATGTCTCCCTGTCGGTCGCTAGTACTACCTGGTCATCAGCAAACTGGAGTGTATATATACATTCATTGCTAAGTTCTATACCCATCCTATGCACCTTTCTTTTCCATCTTTCCAATGCTGCTGCAACATATATCTTGAATAAGGTTGGTGAGATACAGCATCCCTGTCGCAAGCCTTTTGTAACCAGGAATTCTTCCGTTAGATATTTTCCTGTTTTTATCTGTGCCTTTGAGTCTCTATATAGTTCTTGTACAGCATTTATCAATGTGTGGTTGATGTTAGATCTTTGCAACGTTGTCCACAATTTTGTTAAGGGGATGTTGTCATATGCTTTTTGCAGGTCTACAAAAGTAATATGAGTTTCTAGATTCTTAGCTGATCTTTTTTCTATTATTTGTTTAAGACAAAATACGTTATCGGTGCACGATCTTCCTGCACGGAACCCGCTTTGTTCTTCCTCTTCATTGTGCTTATATTCTTCCTCGATCATATTTCTCAAAATTCGTCCATACAGTCTGCTCAGGGTGCTGGTTACCGATATGCCTCTATAATTATTACAATTCCTTTTGTCCCCCTTTTTGTGTATTGAGGACATGTATGCCGTTCTCCACTGTTCTGGTACTGGGTGTCCATTTAGACACTGATTGATCACATAAGTTAAGTTTTCAAATAGTTTATGAGTTCCATTCTTAAGCATTTCAACATAGATTCCCTCAGGTCCAGCGGATTTACCATTCTTTAGGGTCATTATAGCCTTCCTTACTGTTTCGATGTCTACCCTCGCTTTCTTTCCTTGTATAATATGTACTGACTGTGTTGGGCAGTTCGCTAGGTATTCTTGTCTTGTCTCTATCAGCAAGCTTTCATAGTGATCTTTCCATTGTCTTGGTTTTATGGTGTGTATGTGTGCTTTGTCTTTTCCTGTATTTTTTACTGATTGTATAAAATTCCATACCTCTGTACATTGCTTCCCTCCGATGTATGTATTGATTTCTTGACATTTCTGATCCCATGTTTTATTCTTTTCTTGTTTTATCATTTTTCGTAGTTGTTTATCGGTTCTTTGTAAGCTTGGTGATCTTCAGTATTTTTTGGATTTAGCCATTTTAGATGCTGTTCTTTTTTCTGTTTTACCATATATTCGATTTCTTCGTTCCACCATATTTTGTTATTAATTTTGTTTTGCTGTGTCCCGAGTGTCTCCTTAGTTTTTCATCCAGTCGTCGTTGGTATACCTATTTAGTACTATCATTTATAAAACTATTAAAGCTGTACTTCGGAGTCTCCACTGTCTGCAAGTCTTGATTGTCTTCTAGGTTTTGGTCTCCGTGTATTATTTTAAATGGGAACAAAATTTTCGCTCTTACTAAGTAGTGATCGGATCCACATGTTATTCCTCGGAGAACTCTTACATCATTCCACTGCAACACAGATTTTTGTTTACTAATAATATAATCGATGACTGATTTTAGCTTGCGTGTTTGTTGAATCCAGGTATATCTATGTATGTCCTTATGTTTGTAGAATCCATTGCTAATTTTAACTCATAGCTCTCACATAAGTGTATAAGTCTACCGCCATTATCCTTAGTTGCCATTTCTCCAAAAGGTCCTACTACTCTACTGTCTTTCTGATATCCCGTTCTACTATTGAAGTCTCCCAGCATAATTATTTCTCTGTTTTTTCCTATGTTGTTAAGTATATCCTCGATTTTTTTAAAGAAATCTTCTTTCACGTTGATTGTTGCATCATCAGAGGGAGCATAAGCGGCTATCGTGGTAATCTTGTGCCCATATATGTCTATATTTACTCTTAGGATATTCTTATCAATTGCTTCCCAGTCAGTGATATTATTCTTAAGTTTTTTCTTTATTAGTATTGATACTCGCCTTGCGGCTCTTTTATCTTTCGGGACTTCAGTGAATTTATGTATACAATTTCCTACCATATCAGTGCCAGTTCCTTTTTTCTTTGTTTCAGTTAGTGCTATAATATCCATTTTCATTTGTTCTAGATCAGGCATAATGATATTAATCTTTTGTTTTACCCCCTGTATATTCCATATACCAATATTCATAATCCGTTTTCTTAGCTTTGGTCGTTCCCTTAAAAACCCATCTAAAGTTCCGAGGCTTTGTTTAGGCTTTTTGGTATGTTAAAATTTTGACGAGTATTGGAGAACCAGTCCAATGCCACAACCCCCAACCTGGAGGACCGGGTAATTTGTGATCAAGGTTTTCTTCCTCTAGCCTTTGACGATCCAACGACTATAACTACAAGGCAGTAGCTTGATTCTATACAAACCCTAAAATCAAAGGTTGCCACTTCCGCCCTCCATGCCATAGTGAAGATATTCTTCCCCGCCACGAATGCCGTTGTGGACTTCATCCGTAACCCTGGACAAGGGACCCTAAACAGGTACTAGTTTCCCGGGCCAGGAAACACCTGGAATCTGCGGACGGCAGGGATTGATTAATTTTCCCTGATAGGACTATCCAATGGATATCAATGGAATCAATTAAAATAACTCAGATATAATAACACGTAGGAAATTATTTTTTGTATTCGATATTTTGCCATTTTTAAAAGGATTCCTTAAAAATCATATTGTCCCACGACTATTAAAACCAGAGTTAGCATTTTTTTTTAATTAACCGTACATTTTATATTCAAGCTATACGTCCATCATCATTTTTTTTTGCTTTACAACCCTGTGTGGGTCCTAGCCTCCCCAAGCATTCTTTTCCAGTCGTCCCTATCCATCGCCTTCCTCCGCCAAGCACGTATTTCCATATTTCTCATATCTTGGTCTATGTTATCTAGGAATCTTGTTCTGGGTCTTCCTCTTCTTCTTTGACCAATAGGTCTATCAAGGAGCGTTTTTCTAGCTGGCTCGGTTTGCTCCATCCGCGTTACATGGCCTACCCACCTCAGACGTCCTATCTTAATGTGTTTTACGATATCTGGTTCCTGGTATATTCTATAGAATTCGAAGTTGTATCGTCTTCTCCAGATACCATTTTCATTTACCGCTCCATAGATTCGCCTCAGTATTTTTCTTTCCTAATATGTTTTCATTGCTTTTTGTTAAAGTCCAGGTTTCTGAACCATATGTTAGGACTGGGCATATTATTGTTTTGTAGAGTTCAAGCTCTACGTCCTATACCTTTTAAATGTGGGATAATCAAAACACAGTAATTTTTTTAAAGATTTTATTTAAAAAATGATAAAAATGTTACTTTTTCGAAAAAGTGACAAGAATGAGACTATCAAAAATAGCATTTAAGTGACAAACAAGCTTGTATATTTAAAACTCATCATCTCAAAACTTTTCAAAGCATGTATTAATAGCAACGTATTAGAAAAAAAGCAAAACCTGCAATAATAAACCTAAAATATTTAATTTAAATAATATTCACATTGAGGTATATAAATGCTACTCTTGAAACAATTTTTAAAATATTCTAAACCCTTCCGAATTTTTTCAGTGAGTTTATAATATTTTAAGAACCAATAAAGTTGTTCTCTGATGATTTCTGTGTCCTTCGGATGGAAGCAACACAGTCGGTCGATGTTTTCGGTTTGACGATGTTGATCAATAGTGTTCAGAGAATTCGGAATGTCTTATTCCAAAACTATGTGCTGGCGGAGCGTCTAAAATAACCTGAAATATACAAAAAAAAAATGAAAATAATCTTTAAAAATTAACATTTTTAGTATTCAAAGATAAAAAATATTAAAATTGTCATGATAATTTATTGCTACTTTTAACGAGTTACTTTAAACGAGTGTAAAAGAGCAAAACTAACCGTCAAGGGCATAAACATCAACGGAGAAAAGCTTAGCCACCTGAGATTTTCAGATGGTATTGTGCTAATAGCTTATAGGATAGGTAAGGCCAAAGAACTTTAGATAAGCTCTACCTTTGTTTGCTAGAAGAGTGATTAAAAATAAATATATCTAAACCCAGATGATGAAAAATCTTGTAGTCAGCAAAAATATACAAGCTTATATGTGCGCAGGAACAATATCCACAGACCAGGTAACGGCCTATAAATACCAAGCTCACGAAGAAAAGGTAACCAAACGCAAAAGTAATTCGCGTAGGATAAGGTAACCAAACCGTTGAGCATCTCCGTCGTATAATACTAAGTTGTACAGCCTTCGGCAAGATGAACCACATTTAAAACCGTTCGACATATCAATATGTCTTACAATAAAAGTCTAATCAGTGTTTTTTGCTAGTGTTGATTGACGGAGCGACAACGTTGATCATGACAAGGAAAACAGTGCAACAGATCCGTGTGGATCAAACAGCTATGGAGCGTGCTATGTTGGGCGTTTCACTGGTAAAAAGATCCCAAACCGCAGGCTACGACGAAGATCAGAGAGAATAGCAACACAGACAGATGACAGATGAAGAAAGCGAATTCGTTGAAAGCGAAAGAAAGCGAAGAAAAGCAGAGTTCGTCCACCAATACATTGGACTGACGATCTAAAACATCGCCATAGGAATTAGATGCAAGAGGCACAAGATCGATATAGATGGAAAATTGTGAGATCGATCTATGTCCAGCAGTAGAAAAGCGAAGATTGAATGATGATGATCATACTTAGTAATTCTTTTTATTTACTCATACGCTAAAGTATCTTATCGTTGGTAACTTTTTGTACCCATTGAATTCTTACCTCTAATACAACAGAGGTAGTTAAGGCATCAGACACCTCTTGGTTTTTTATACATAGTTTTTATACAAGGCCTTTATGTAAACATTAATTTTGCGCACTTCTTTCATTACAGTCCATATCTGTGGGTTAACTACAGGCAGTATGACTGCAAGTATTTTGTACGCAATAGTTTATTTTTGATATATTTTTAGGAGGTTCTAGATAAAGCAGTAGACTTAAAAATCATCGTCATCATGATGCTACATGCCCTAAAGGACCTCGACCATCTCAAGCTTTCTGCGCCAGTCTGCTCTGTCTCTTGCTTGAATTTTCCAGTTTCTTATCAGGACAGGTTTCTGTGCTATCCACGTTAGCTATAATCTACTATGTCTTCTCATTCCCGTCTGTAAGAAGCGCTTAAAAATACCATTAAAAACTGTCACATATCGAATTACCAGAGACTAACCTCACAAATACCATACAGGAAGCTACATGAGCAACGACTTAAAATTAAAAATAGTCAGCATTGAAAGAAGCCTGTTCTATAACAGGCTTCTTCTAGCAAGCCCTTAGGGCCGGTTGTTCTAACGCTAATTAAAACTTGATTGTAGCCAAATATTTAATTAAAAGCAAATATCTCACAGCAGCTGTCAAAATTATTAAAAATTGTTTATTATTATTATTGATTTGTAAATAAAAACATGAAATTAACACCAGAAAGAGTTTAATTATGGTTAATTTAAAATTAAAACGCAAAATAATAAAATTGAATAAAATAAATCAGTTAACATAACCTCAAAATGTAACGTATTTGATTTTAATTAAATATTTGATTACAATCTAGTTTTTATTAGCGTTCGAACAAACGACCCTAAAAGTGCCGGAAAAAAACAATGTTAAAAATAAATTGGCGCCAAAACAAAACAGTGAGCAATGAACGTAAACTTACTGAAGAACTATCTGAGAAGAAGAACTAAAAAAATATATATTTGAATTAAAAAGAAAGAACTAACAGCAACAGAAGTCATCTACTACTCCTTGTAAAAAGTCACAGTTACACTAAAAACTCCTCGAACAACACCCTTGAGAAAGAAAAACAATGAAGAATGCGCGAAAAATTACATTAAACGACACTAAATTTACCTATTCTTATTATTGATAATAATAAATTGTAAATAAAATGGAGTTATATAAAATAAATAATACATGTGATTGGGGATGTTGTTTATGGGAATACCTCGCTCAAAATCTACTTTGTTTTTCAGCAAAAAATTAATAAATAACTAAAAACCAAACACTAAACTAAAGAGCTAAAGATTTATTTATATATAAAGTGCAAAAAAACCTACAAAAGTGATCAAACTATGATTCTACTCTACAACACGCAAACTTCACCTGATAACTGAACGACATTCCAAGGACTAAATCCAAATAAATTTTAATGTTGCAATATTATTTTTAGAAAAGTAGCGATGTACTTTCTCTCCTTAAGCATCCGTGTTGGGTTCCCAAATATGGCGAATGTCGAATACCAAACGAATGACTTGGAGCATGTCGTAAATGGGAGATTACCTAAGATAAATATTTAAAAAAATAAATATATAGGACACTGCCTGTCAGATATATATGAAAAATTATTTATTTAATTTAATGTAAATAAACGATCAGTTTTTCATATAGTTTAGATAAAGACGTCAACTGACAAATAAACGAAACGTCAACTCAATAACAAGCTTGTAATAATATAATAATATCTAGTTTTAAATAAATCTATTTTCATTTCTTGGGCCCTTGTCAATGCGTAGTGATACAAAAGTGGACGGCTTCATGTATAGGAATTTTTCGACCAAATTTTTCATTTGATCTGCCCATCGTATTCGAGATCTTCCTCTTAGTCTTCGGTCTTCTTTCTTTCCTTTTACTACTAACAGTTCCGTTGTCCCCATTCTTCTAGCTATGTGACCGAAGTAATTTATGTATGCTCGGTTGACTTTTTTTAATAGTCTATTTTGTATATATAGCTCTTGCAGAATTAACAGGTTGGTTCTATATTCTGTCCAGGACACGTGTAGAATTCTTCCATAGACCTACATTGCACATGTTTTGATCCCGAATTCTTCTATAGACCTTCATTACACATGCTTCAATCTTGTTCCTATCGATTTTTTTAAGAGTCCATGTTTCAGCTGCTTATGTAGCAATGGAAAAAATTATTGTATTGTCCAACCTTAACTTAGTATTACTTGTTATTATTTGCTATTTTCATATTTTACTAATTTAGCTTTTGCGGTTCGCACCATTGCTAATATACGCTTGATTTCTGAGGAGCAATCGCCTTTGTTGATGATCAAGGAGCCTAAGTATACAAATATGTATACAACCTTAAAATTCGCCACTAGGAATATATGCGGTAGATTATGATTTTTTTTGTCTTCGGTCATTGTGTTTATTTTTCAGATGTTGACTTCTCAGCATCAGTCCGAATTCTTGCTAGTGTAAGTGTGTTTTCTGCCTCCTATTAGTGATTTCTTCATCCCATTCATCTAGTTCTTTCCCATAATATATTTAGAATATATTTTGTATAATAATAGTGACAGTATGCAGCCCTTCCGAAAAGATCTTCCATAATGCCCTCAAAAATATTGAAGAAGGAATAAAAACCAACAGATAATATGTAAACAACTTATATATAAACAAAAATACGCAGACAATACCGTCAATATTGTGGACAGTGCTGAGGGTTTGCAACCACTTTTCAATCCCATAACCAGAGAGGGAGATAGCTTGGGGTTGAATATAAAAACAAATAAAACAAAAGTAATAACCGTTACACGTGCACGAAATGCCAACATTATTATTCGTATCTACAACAAATAGATAGAACCCGTACAAAAATTCCAGTATCTTGGTTGCTGAATAACAAACGATCTTGATTACAAAGTTGAAATACGTGTTCGTATATGTATGCTAGATCCGCTCTTTAAAGAATGAAAAAATTCCTAATAAACTCTACCTTATCATTGTTTATCCGATACCAATTTGTAAAAACGTTCATTTATTCCATATTGCATACGGAGTGAAAACATGGACTCTCGGAATCACAAGTATGAGACGTGTAGATGCCTTTGAGATGTGGGTTTTTTAAAGGATACTGAAGATCTCTAAGAGAGAGCACGTGACTAACAACGAGGTGCTAAAAAGAATGAGGACTGAGAGAGAACTCGGACTAGGACATATTTACAGAGAGAACTAGGGCATATTTACAGAGAAGAAAAATAAAACTTCCTACGACTGATAATGGAAGGGAAAGTGGAAAGGTCCAGAAAGAAGAAAATGCTCCTGGTTGAAAAATGTCGAGACTGGACAGACATGGACACAAATTTGATACTAAGAACAGCTCAAGATACAGAGCAATTTGCTGTAGTTATAGCAAATCTTCAGTAACGGAGAGGGTACCTTAATAAAAAGAGAAGATACAGCCCTGTCTAGTTCCTTTTTGGGTTTTGAACGCATCTGAACGTATTCCGTGTATTTTAATTGTTGCTAAGCTTTTACCACACCAACTTCGTATTAGGATTATGGTCATTGGGTACTCCCATATTTTAGATTATACTTCAGAAGGCATTCTGAATCAAAAGTAATATACGAAACACAGCAGTATTAGTATGTTGTGTTCTGTGCTTTTTCTATTATCATTTTCGTGTTTAATATCTGTTTCAGCGTTCCTTTTCCCAGTACGAATCTACATTTTTCTTCGGATATCCCTAGAAATAGACACTATGAGGAATAAGTGATTTTTTTAGGGATAAGGATAAACGCTGATTCGCACCACTCATCAGGTCATTCATTTGTGATCCACATCATGTTGCACATATCATGTTCTAAAGTTTATATACCTTTTGAAGTGCCATTTTATGATTCTGAGCAAATATTTTTCCAGGCCCCTGTAATGCTCTCTATGTTAGTTTTTACTTCTCTATTACGGTCTTGAATGGCTTGTTAAAGTTGTGACTTGAACTCTCAGACCAAATGTTTAACTTTTTTAAATAGTTCATGACATTCATGGCATTTTGCGTGTTGCTCCAATTCTAAACACTTGATATTTATTTAGTTGTTTATATCTCAGGTGCACATTTTATATTCCTACTTAGTTCCGCTATTTCTTGAGTGTTATTTCCTGTTTTTAAAGTATGCTGAAGCAGTCATATTGTGATATCTACTGGATAATTGACCAGTTGTGTCTTTTTCTATTTATTGTAATATTAGCGCCCAAATATTTAAAGTTCATGACTTATTCTACACTTTTATTATAAATAACTGACTTATACCATCTTCGTTCTCTTGATATTGTTATAGATTTCGTTCTCTGGATAGAGGTAATTATATTTAATGTTTTGTTACAATTTCAAAACTGTATTGTAGTCTCTTGAGATCGTTCTTATCTTCAGAAATTATCACCACATCATCAGCATAGAAAATTATTTTAAATTTTCTATTACCCATTTTATAACCCTATCCAGCGGTTTTCACTTCTTTGATGATGTTACCCATAAGCTTTTTATAAATAGCTCTGAAGCTGGGCTTAAGAAGTTTTTCTCTCTATAATTTTGTTGGTCTGTTTTCTCGTATGTTAAAGACTGAGTTAGTTCTACTTTATTTCCACTGTCACCTTTGTCATTTTAAACAAATCGTACACAGCATTTATAATTAGCAGTGTCAACAAAAGTATTTAGAGGTAATGGATTTTGGGAACAGCTATGACCTTGAACATTTCACACAAACTTGTGTACTAAATAGGCATAATGCATAGCTCTTGTCAAAATCCAATACATTAATAATATAATTACATATCTTCGATTCTAAAATATTGTAAAAGACTTTAAAGAGTATGAGTAAGAAAAGAGATATTTAGTTATATTCTTTGTGGCATTTTCAAGGTCATAGCTATTCCCAAAATCCATTACCTATACTGTCTATTAGAAATGTTGATTAATGGCAAAAAAATTGTGATTGGTTGCTTTAGTATGTACTAAAACGTAATGTAACCGTTTCTTAGCAATAAGCCAGATCGACCACAACTGTCAACTTATTGAAATTTTCTCGCTGAATTCACTATAGATAAACTAATCTTGTGTTGACCATATTTTTAAAACTTATAGTTTAAAGTTAATGGTTAAACTATTATTATGAAAATATGTATTTGTTATTAAAATTTCATTATATTTAAGTAGCTAAAGTTTTAATCAAATGGATTTACCACATTTTACTTCATTTAAAACTCCTAAATGATACTTCACTTTTCATTTGACGCTATTTCATAAAAGCATAAGCTAATACTTACTTTTTCAGGTGAATAAACACCAGGCCCAGGAATTTTATCATCTTTGGGAACGTTAATTCTTCCGCTCATCGTATATGCTGGAGAATGGCTTTTATAGAACTCAGGATCTACATTATTGTACTGCCCTGGAGCAGGATTTTTAACACGTTCGTCCAAGAGTTCCTTAGTTCTACCAGATATAGTATAAGCCGGTGATCCTCTGTCACCTACAGCCGATGGAATATTATATACGTTTGGTGCTAAAATATAAAAAGCAACAGTTGAACAAATAGTAAAGATACCTAACTCCAAGTAGCACATTTATATTATTAAGTTGAACAAATATTTTAGACATGAAATAAAGAAGTTGATATAACAAGTTTTTTGTCCAAGAATTATGTAAGAACTATAAAAAATATCATTAGCTCATACAAACTACAAAGTTATGTCGGATATTCTACTGACAAAATTAATTTCGTACGCAGAAGAACTAATAGGTGATTACCAGTATCGCTTCTAAGCAGGTCTACAATAGACAAGACCTTAGCGCCATATTTTAGAAAAGATTTGGAAATACAACAAAGATGTACATCAAATTTTTGCAAATTTTAAACAAGCGCATGACTCTATAGACAAGGATACAGGTGTGAAAGATTCATGTGCATGTATCAGAATTGGCAGCCATACATCAGATGAGTTTAAAGTCGAAACAGGTCTAAGACAAGGTGATCTACTTTTCCCTTTGTTATTTAACTTCGCTTTAGAACACGTTAGTTAGGAAAGCACATCCGAAAAAAAAAAAGCAAATGGCCTCGCTGCCCAGAAAGCGGAGGTATTGTTAGCTTTTGTTGATGATTTCAACATAATTTCACAATCCATCAGAGATGTGAAAAAAGTTTTTATCCTTTTTGAAAGCATGGTTACAGAAATAGGCTTTAAGGTCAAGGAAGATAAGACCAAGTACGTGGTAATTACCAAAAATCCAAAACTAAGAATTAGATAAAACATTTCGATAAATGACTTTATTTTTGAAGTTGTCAAAAAATTCAGAATACTATAGAGCAATATTAACTGTTATTAAAAAAATTTTAAAACTTTATTGTCCGAAACTGAATGTTGGGCAAATAAAAAGAAAGACGACGTAAAAATGCTTAAATGATGAGTGCAGTTGCAAAAAAAATAAAGTTAAGCAACAATATATTAGGAGAAGTCTAGAGGTGACACCAAATCATGCCAAAATAGGAGATCATAGCTTAAGATGGTTCAAGCTTGTTCAACGTAGAGCCGTTAGTCACCCAATACGAAGAATTGTTGATCTGTAAAATCTGTGCTGATTGCTGAAGTAGAAGAGAAAGGCCAAAAAAGAAATGGGGGGAGACGCTTGGGCATAACATGTTGGTAAAGGTAATTGATATTTGTACGAAGAGCAAAGAGAACGATGATTGGTGTGAAGATTGTTATGAAGAGATAAAGGCAAAGGGAATCGTTCACATCAATTATTACGTCCATTATTCCTAATTTCAGATACTAAATTAATTTTGGTAAAATTAAACACCTGAAAAACAGTTTTAACAAAAGTTGCTGTAATTCTTGTAAGTTTATCAAAATATAAATATAAAAGTGCTACTTAATACGTTTAAACCATCAAATATATTTCACATAGTAAATGGATAATGAAAATGATATAGTTGTGCTTTACAGTAGTGAACAGAAGACAGAAAATAGGTGAGAAGTGTTCACAAAGAGAAAGAATTGCTTTGGATCGGTAGCTTTGCATGTGCAAAATCAATAAATCCATCCTTTCTTGCTTAATAATTGAGAACTGTCAAAAAATTATCAAAAATAATTAATTGTACTCGTGTAATAACATCTCTCAATGTTTTCCAAAATATTTTTATTTTTCATCATCTCTGAGATATGCAGTTTGAACTTCTTGTAGCTCATTTTTTTGGATCCAATTTTTCTTCAAATATTCTCTCTTATTGTTATCCAGGGTATTTTAAAAAGTTTCTAGGATAGTTAAAAAACTAAAAAATAATTCAGGTTTGCTTAGTAATATATTTTTTGTAACGCCATCCGTTCTTAAGATAAGGGGCGTTAAAGAAAAAAAAATTACCATTTTTACAATTTTGTCGAATCTACTGATAATATTGTAATGAAATTCTATATGAATATGTTTTGGAAGCTGAATTTGTTTCTATATCTGACCCCCATAGAAGGCGGTAGTTACAAGGTTCGTACCAAGTTTTATTTGACATTACTTTTTTAAGGGTAGAATTAAGCTATTAGAACTTTATCATTATTTTATGTCAGTATCGGTTAATACTTATTTTCACTATTCATTTTCAAATTAAAATATTCAGTAAATGGTACACAGTCGAGTTTTACCAAGAGTAACTTTTTGATGTAAAATTGTATGATGTTTAAGTTCACCTAAAATTTTGATTAATAATTCTACCCTTAAAAAAAATAGGTCGTATAATATTTGGTACGAACCTTGCAACTAGTGCCCTCTATGAGAATCAGATATAAAAAAATTCATGGGATGCATAAGCTTCCAAAGCATATTCGTATAAAATTTCATTATAATGTTGCCATTAGTTTCGACAAAATCGTAGAAAATGTGTAATATTCTTTTTCTTCAATGCCTTTTTTATTAAGCAAACCCAATTATTTTTCAGTTTCTACGTATCCTGGAGACAATGTTAACTTGTTTTAAAACATCCTATATACGCTCAAAGATATGTGAATTCACCGTATTATCTTTTATTGGTCTTCTATATCTTTTTGATAATATATAATAGATAATAAGCATACATTTTTGTATTCTTTAACCTGTTCAGTCCTGTGTATCAACATGGTTCACTATGTTCATCATATAAAATATATACACAAAATCATAAATAGAAAAAAACTCATAAAAATATTAGTTAATATATAGTGTTAGTGAAGAAGCAGACGACACCAGAAAAAGCATAAAGCTGAAAAAAATATATACAGTAATTATGGTTGTTTCACTAAATTTGAAAACAGGTAAGTCTATTTGTCATATAATTTTTGTATAGAAAAATAACAGTTAAAATTAATCATTATATAATAGTTAAAATATGTGATCTACTTTTAATTCCACAAAAAAATTCTAAAATGTATGTTCAAAACTAATTCGAAAACTACCACTACACTACCAACGATCGACTGTATACAGTTTTTGTCAGAACATCGATATTATCCTGTTAAAGGCGTAAATTTTAACAACTACTTCTTTGTATATCATTTTAATTATTCTCCATTTTCTTCGGATATTGATTTATTTTCTTCATTACGGTATTAAATAGCGTAGTTTAATCATTATAGAGAGTGCGCTGCTAATAGAGTCTATTCTGATATTTGGTAATAATCATTATATTTAACGAAACAGGTAGATCTTTATTCCCAAGGTTTTAGCTAAATACAGATATCTGCCGCCCCCTAGCTTCCAGTCCATCTTCTTCCCATGGTGCCCTATTCAATAATCAGTGCGTTTTTCTTCAAGGTTGCCTGTTATTACGAGGTGGGGAAGAAAATATATTTATCTGATTATACTGAAGATATGATGTTTTGCGGACTTTGATGAGGTGAAGTAGCTCTCTTTCCAGTCCTTCATCCCTTAATTTTAAATAAGGAATATACACTACGCGTCGCATCATTATATTGACCCTCAGATGATCACATTAGAAACTGTATTCCAACGCGTTTTCGAAAAGCTATAATAAAATCCCTATTAAGTTTACTTGTTCGTTATAATAAATCGGTTGGTCGCATGGCTGCTACAGGTCCTTTCCGAAGTTAATTTGCTCCTTTTCTACCTTGGCTGCACTGTACTGAAGACTACCAGATAGTCAGACATACAATATATTTATAGTTGCTTTCCACCTTTTTATTTATTTTCTTTTGTATTCACGGTGTGAGTTTTGCAAATAATTTTTTCTTATCTATATTTGTACTAGTACTCACAATAATTAACATTATTTTATGTTTAAGTATTATAGCGTTTCTTTCCTGTGTTAGTTCTAGCATTGGAATGCTGGGTCTTCTGGCAATATTGTCACAATTGGTCGCATTGATCCTGTAGTGATCCTCTCCTCAGGTAGATGAGGAGATATCAAGATGTTCGTTTTTCCCTATAATGTCATCTAGACAATCTGCTACTTTTTTAGTTAGCTTGTGCAACTGGAAGTCTTACTTCATTTTCTGTGTTTGAGCTTTAGATCTCTATTTCTTCAATTTCTTACTTCGTATTCTTCTTCTTGTTCCATGACCGTTATCGATCGTTGGATACCATGTTGGCTACCATATTCGCTATTGTGACTTTACTGGCAGCAGCTCTAAATAACGATGTAGTTGATTTTCCATACCATTGCCTTAGATTTTTCAGCCATGATGTTCTTCGTCTACCAGGACCACCATTACCTTGGATCTGTCGCTGAATGATCAGATGTAAAAGATAATATTTTTCAGGGTGTCTCATAATGTGACCGAAGTATTCCAGCTTGCGTTTCTTAAATATATTGACCAGTTGTGTTGTTTGGCTCAGCCGTCTAAGCACCTCCTCATTTCTAACTCTGTCGACATAGCTTATTTTCAGTAATCGTCTGTATACCCACATCTCAAAGGCTATCAAGCGTTTAAGCATAGCCTCAGTTAGAGTCCACGCTTCCACTCCATACAGCAGGACAGGAAAGATGTCGCAAGATGTCATACGAACTCTAAGGTCAATGCTAAGATCGTGACTGCAAAATACGTTTCTCATTTTTACGAAGGCAGCTCGGGCTTGTTCTATTCGGCTTTTAATTTCTGCGGTTAGATCCCAGCTCTCATTGATATTACTGCCGAGATGCACGAGTTTCTCTACTCTGTCCAGTGTGGCATATCCGACTTTTATACTGTCATCCTCTATATAATTTTGTTTGCTTACTATCATATACATATTTAGTTTTCTTAACGTTGAGTTTTAATCCATACTGATTACAAGTCTTTATTTATTCATTAGATTTTGAAGGTCTTCTCCGCAATTGGCAAGGTCTAAGGTATCGTCGGCATATCTAATATTGTTGACGGTTACTCCATTCACAATTATACCTTCGGTTGTCTCTATTAAGGCTTCCTTAAATATTTCCTCCGAATATATATTAAAAAGTAAAGGCTACAATATACAGCCTTTGTAGTTATTTGTAATTATTTGTAGATCTTTATCGTCCAATTCAGCTGTTTCCAATATTTCTAGCATTTTGTTATGTCGGACTTTGTCAAAAGCTTTTTCAAAATCGATTGCACAAATGTACACATTTTGATTTATATCTCTGCATCTCTGTACTAACACCTGTATACTAAACAAGGCTTCTCTTGTACCCAAGCCATTCCTAAACCCAAATTGAGTATTGCTAATTCTGTCCTTTAACAGCGTGTAAATTCTGCTGTGTATTACTCGCAGGAAGATCTTCAAAACTTGACTCATCAGACTTATTGTCCGATAATCACCGCATGTCTTTGGACGATGTTTCTTAGGTATTGTGACAAATGTCGACTTTAACCAATCAGTTGGTAATATTCCAGTGTCATAAATTCTGTTAAAGAGATTACACAGAGCTTGAATTCCATTTTCTCCCAAAAACTTAGTATTTCAGCACTTACTTCATCGGGCCAAGTGCTTTTCCATTGTTTACCGTTTGTATTGAACGTCTTACCTCACTTTCTGTTATAGATGGACCTGATATAGCAATCGGTGTATAGTATTCTACTCTCTTATCTTCAAATAATTCAGAAATGTAGTTTTCCCATTCTTTTAACTTTTCATTGATGTCTAATATTCTGTGTCCGTTTCTGTCTTCTAAACTTTGGGATACTTGTTTCCATTTGTTTCCAGCGACCTCTTTCAATTTCTTGTGCAGATGAAATGTATCGTGTTTATTTTTGTATTGTTCAATTTCATTACATTCTTTACTATGAAATTGTGTTTTCGCGTATCTTATCTTCTGCCTGATTATTGGGTGGATCCTCTTGTATTCGTTTTTATTTTTATTTCTGACTTCTCTTCTTTGATCCATAAGTCTCAGTATTTCTTCTGTCATCCACCCTTGTTTTTTTCTTGCTTTTAGCGCACTGAATTTTGTTTCTTGAACAGTCTTTAAGATGTCTTTAATTCTCGTCCAGTTTTTCTCAGTAACTACTACTTTCCCTACTTCGTATTGTCTTGGTTAAACCCCAGGTAATTAAACTATTGCTTTTTTTGAAACAGTATTCTTTATTGTTTGCGGTAAGCTTTGATTGTGTTACTTTATTGAGTAGTTTTGAATATTTTACAGATATTCAGTGTTCCACTGTTTTCTTGCGTTCTGGATATTAGTACTATAATATTCGGAAAAGGCAAGAACCTGGCTTCCATTATCATATATCCTTTATTTATAAAATAACTTTGTAAACCTGTTTTCAAATAAAGTATTTCAACCAACACGGTGCAGTATCCCCAATGGACATGAAACATTGTCTCCATGAAAAAATAGATATTTGAAATAACTAACCAGGAGTTATACTATAATTTTTATTATTTGTTTTACGTCCAAAGCTATACCTAAGAGACCTTCTTAAAACATTATCTGCTCTAGGAACGTTGTAACTGTTTGGAGCTAAAAATTATAAAAATATCCTATATACAAAAATCTAGAAATTAAATAAATTTATTTTCATATACCTTAATATATTAGAAACATGCAAAAATTATATTTTTTACAATAAAGTACATACTCATAATCTTAGAAAAGATTTCATAAAAGCTAGAATACCTATTTTTTAGTCTTTAAAGAAGCCATTATTAAAGCAAGTAGAGTATTTCATTAAATAATATGATTACCTTAAAAATCCTCTATAAAAGTTATATCACTAAAAGATCTTTTCGGGCTACATCACAACACAAACTTTTTGGACTAAAAAGTTTATCATCAGTATACTTACCAGGTGTACATAAGTCAAGCTACTAAATATGTGGGTAAAAAAACCTTAAACGGTACAAAATTTGTTATTTGTTACATCTTTGTTAATAAGATGGCTTGACGTTATTTTTAACAGATACTTTTTAGGCTAAAAATGTAATTTTAATAAGTTACTATCTAGAGGACAAACAAAGACATTGCCTTAGATTTAGCAACCCCCAATTTGGAAGTCTTACATTGCCATGTAAGGTATTTGTTAAAAACTTTAACATAACACCATCTTAATCATAAATATGTAACCAATAACAATTTTTTTTTAGGGTTTTTACCAACATATTTAGTTGCTTGACTCATGTAGACCTAGTACACAATACAATACATTTTTAGTCCGAAAAAGTTCTGATGTGATGTAGCTCGAAAGGGTCTGTTAATATTATACCAAATATAGTATACCAAACAATAAATACAAATATTAAATACAATAAAAAAATATTTAATTATGTACAGATTGCAATAGTAATGCAATACCAAAAAGAGAACAACCTAAATCAATACAGGCAACTTCGTTTAACGTTTTACTTTTGACAGCCTTTGTTATCTGAACGAAAACAAACAGCTGCCCATGTGTCAGAACTGTCAACTGTCCCACCCAAAATCATGACCATTAAAGGAAATTATAAGAACTTTTGTTATCTTTGGCATGTATAACTAACCGGAATAGAGGATATTTTTTAAAAAATATATAACTTTTGATAAAGTTGGATTTGAATGTACAATTTGGAACATATTTAAGGTATTTCTTTTGAGTGACAATTCCAATAATCGAATACTTTTTAACATCTGTTTAGTTTTTTAATACACTCACTTTCGATCAGTTACAAAATATGCACATACTTGAATCAATAACCAGTAAACAACTGTGTGTTCAATCATTACCAAATTTGGAGATTTAAGCTTTTATTGTGGTGTGAGTCATGGTAAGTCGACCTTCGGAACTACCTTATTAAATAACAATGAACATAATTGTCTGCTAAAATCTTTAAGTAATTACTGGTTACAGAAAATGTTAGTAGCTGAACCAGAAACAATAGGTTTGTATACTTTCGGACAATGGCAGTAGAAATAGTGAATGTTTATTTAAAATAATACTGGCCAAGTATACTAACATACTAACATAAATCAGTGCCATTTTTGGAAGTTGTAGCGGTGGATTCGGTTATGATTAAAAAGTATATATAGGGTGAATCACTACCAATTGAAACGCTTAAAGTTTCAAAATTTTTGTCATTTCAATAGATTATACAGAGTGGTTCTTTGGGTGTTCTAATTTTTTTTCTTTTATAATTTGTACGCGAGCATAAAATTTTTCTTGGTGGTAAAGTTTTCGTGTGGAAGTTTAGATTTACAACACCTTATCGATGGTCCAGTTTCGTTTATCTACTAATTCCTCATTGTATATTCTTCACTTAAAAATTAAGTTTGTATTAGGGATAAGAGTCTGTATTTGTCTGATTAGATAATCTATTGCTGCCTATAAACAATGTTTCCTCTGAAACAACTTCCTCTGTTTATAGTTACAATCAAAGGTGAATACGACAGTAAAATCAAAAATATCACAGATCTCTGTTACATGCGAATTCATGTAGAAGAATAAATCAAAAACAAAAGAGAAACCATTAAGGGCTACAATTGCCAAAGCTTTTACCATACCTCAAAAACCTATTATTTTGGTGCAAAATGTGTCAAATGCGGAAAAAGACACATCAGCAGCGAATGCAACAAGGACAGAGACACCGACCCAAAGTGTGCAAACTGCGGTGAGGCACATACAGCCAACTACAAAGGATGCTCGAAGGCACCTAAAAAGAAAACTGCCCCACAACAACCAAAAGGCAGACCAATAAATAACAACACTACCATCAAAGGTGTTACCTAGGCGCAGCCTACAAAAAACCTGCAAACGAGAATCCTGCAGCAACGAACGAAGCCGCCGTACTAATCGCTAGCTTTAACACGAACTTAAATGCAAAGATGGCCCAATTCTCCAAAATGTTGGAGAAAATGACACAAGGAATGACAGCAATTAGTAGCATAGGACAAATATGCTAGTACACCAACCGGAGTATCTTCGTATTGGGTCTTGGAACTTAGGTGGGCTATACGAAAAAATCAATCTTCTGGATGAATTTTTCAACAGACTGAAACTAGATATCAGAGCCCTACAATGAACAAAACTAGTGGAAAGGAAAAAAACAAAATTTATAGGCTATGATATCTATAGAACAGACCATAGAGCAAACTCAGGAGAAACAACCATCATGGTCAAAAAAGGAATCAGACACCAAGCCATTCCAACTTCGGATGGCTTGGTCATAATACCACGATAGTCTGGTTTACCACAGGAAACTAGACACTAGAAATCATATCAGCTTATGTAAGACCAAATAACCCAATCTTCTACGCCGACCTGAGCATTATCTTGGATTCAGACAAACCCACAATTATTATAGGCGACCTAAATGCGAGATCACCGAATTAGTACGACCTTACAACCAACAGCAATAAAAGACTACTCTGTGGATACCTCGAAATAACACATAACACATATGTAGTCTATTCAATGGACCCAACGTGTTACAATGGGTTGTCTCCACCCACTCACCTCGATATTCCAACCCTTGACAACGTGGGTCAACAACACGAAATAAATTCCTTAATAAACGAAAGCGATTCAACACATAACTTAATCGTCGTATATATATATATATATATATATATATATATATATATATATATATATATATATATACTATTTGCAGTCCCACAAAAAGAAAAAAACCAGCTGGCCAAATTTCAAAAGAATCGTAAGCGAAACACATCGGTGCAATACCCACAATAAATAATATCGCAGAACTAGAAGATAATGTGGTAAAACGAGAAGAAATCATAATAAACGTCATCGATGCCAGCTCAAAAGAAGAGACAATAATAACAAAATAGGAAATTTCAGAAACATAAGTACGAAATTAAAAGACCTGATCAGAGAGAAAAATAGGAGAAGAAAAAAACAGCATACAGCACAAGGACTCAGAAAAAGAAAAGGATTGCAAACGAGCTAAATAGAGAAATCAAAAAATAACTACAAAATCACAACAACGAAAGTTGGGACACCTATATCAAGGAATTAAATCCAAATAAATCCGCGTTTCACTAATTAGCTTCCACTATCAAAAATACTAAGGAAAGATAAAATACCTATCCTACCACTACACGGGGAAAACGGAATCGTATACACCAAAGAAGACAAAGCAGAGGTATTAAAAACTGAAATAGAAAGATCGTGTAGTAACAACTATTACCCCTACGAAGACTTAGACTTCACGGAAGAAGTTGAAAGCGCAGCCAGAAAGTGAAAAAGAAAAAAGGGAAGTATAAGCTTAACACACACGCCTCCCCTGAAGTAATCAAAGGTTTAATAAAGATCAAAGATTAAAGATCGAAGATCGAAGATCGAAGATCGAAGATCGAAGATCGAAGATCGAAGATCGAAGATCGAAGATCGAAGATCGAAGATCGAAGATCGAAGATCGAAAATCGAAGATCGAAGATCGAAGATCGAAGATCGAAGATCGAAGATCGAAGATTGAAGATCGAAGATCGATGATCGAAGATTGAAGATCGAAGATCGATGATCGAAGATCGAAGATCGAAGATCGAAGATCGAAGATCGAAGATCGAAGATCGAAAATCGAAGATCGAAGGTCGAAGATCGAAGATCGAAGATCGAATATCGAAGATCGAAGATCGAAGATCGAAGATCAAAGATCGAAGATCGAAGATCGAAGATCGAAGATCGAAAATCGAAGATCGAAAATCGAAGAACAAAGATCAAAGATCAAAGATCAAAGATTAAAAATCAAAGAACAAAAAAAAATCAAAATCAAAAAAAGCCAAAATCGGATAATATCACAACTAAAGCCCTAAAAGATCTGCCAGCGAAAGCAATAGTATACATCACAAATAATATAAAAATAGAATGCTTAAACTAAGATACTTTCCGGAAAGTTGGAAGGAAGTTCACGTGATTATGATAGCGAAACCCTGGAAAAATGATACTTTTCCACAGAACTAGAGACCTATTAGCCTACGATATTATACGCCATTGGTCTACACTGATATGAAAACCATTATAGCATAATAACTTAGCCGAAAGTAAAAATGACATTTTGGTTTGTCATTCATTTATGATTTTTGAATATTTGTAGGTTTGGATGCAAGAAATGTTATATTATTGTTATTATTCGCACTTTATACCAAAAATACATTAGTAGTGTTGTTTAAAAGAATTAAGCAATGTTATTAGATTTTAAAAAATTTTAAACCCACCAGGAACATCCAGTGGTTTTTCCAGATTTACTTTTGATCCAAAACTATATTTGGGTGCGTCGGCGATAATTGAATCGGAAATTTTGTAGACGTTGGGAGCTAAATTGGATAAATATTTTACAAAAAACATACATATTTAAAAATAAATTGTTAATACAGATTATTAAGCATGCATATCTGTGTATATTATTGCACGGAAATTAATACTAATTAATTTTGCAGATGTGTTATGGCTTGCATTAACTTTTTTTGACTATAGGTGGTTCTTCTCTGTTTTGTATTTTTGACTGACTCTGTCGTCAAAATATCTATAACGTGTAGTTTTTTTTAAGTTTAAGATTTGCCAGCATTTTTTTTTCTGAGTATAATAAATCAATCTAGCATGGCTTTTCTTTTATATGTACTACGTTAAACTGATAAAAATCATCCAATGTAAACATTGTGGAGGCCTTTATGCTAATTGGAGGATGCACAGAGATCCTAATTCTGCTCTACTTATATTTGTACTAGCACCAAATACAGCTTGTATCTGAACTATGAGTGTTAATTACATCCTGGTCCTCTTGGATCTCTAAGTTTGTCTATTCAGATGATATTTAAGAGATTATATTTGTCGCCTCCCATAATACTATGGCCTAAGTATAAGTCGTCCATTGAAATGTTACATTTTTTATGCCTTATCGTGCATTTCTTAGAGAACGCGCAATTTTATTTTCTTGATGTATTGGAATGGTAAGTATAAGCTTAAGTTTAGTTTTGTGGGGGCGCCAGACTTACAAAAAGGAGAAAAGGTTTTCGCGCTGTATCTCGTAAACTGGCAAATCTACAGGAAATTTTATTAGACATTATTTATAGCAAATTAATTTCTATTTTTACGGTAAAATGCGTAATAAAAAAGTTATTAACAAAAATACCTAAAAATTTTTGAACAAATTTTCTTTTCGGCCTTAACTTTTTTTCACATTTTATAACAAAATTATGTCAGAGTAATATTGTAGAGGCTTTTGCAATGAATCATTTTTACTACAAATTCTCAGGTTCTTGATTACTCGTAAGAATACGATAAAATGAACCATTAGACTTAGTTTTCCATTATATATATTTTTTTCATATTATTTTAAATCTTCTTCTTCTTCTTCGTGAGTCTAGGATTACTCCTGTTTGTCTGCCTCTTATTTTGTTTCAGTCGCTGTTAACTGTACATTATCTTTCCACCTTTTTGGCGGCCTTACAACAGGTCTTCTGCTGTACGGTTTGTTGTTTTTACAGATGTTCGCTAATATATCTGGTCCCATTCCGTTTACATGTTCGTTCCAGTTTTTTTTTATTGTTTTTATCCAGCTGTTAATATTTTGAATTTTGCATTGTTCGCATATACTTCTGTTGGTTTGTCTGTCCCTTAACGATATGCCCGCTATTGATCTTAATACTTTCATTTCGATATTGTTGATTTGTTGTTTCATCTTTCTTGTATCGGTCCTTGTCTCCGCTGCATATGTTAGGATTGGTCTTACTATTGTCTTGTATACTTTTATTTTGCTTTTCGTGGTCAGATATTTGTTTCTCCATATGGTTTCTCGGAGGCAACCACTTACTCTTACTGCTTTTGATGCTTGCCTTGTGGTCTTTGTTCTTATATCCCTGTCACTCGTGATCTCTACTCCTAGGTAAATGAATTTCATTACTTGTTCTACAATATTGCCGTATATTTCTAGTTTGCATCTACGAGGCTCTTAACTGATCACTATACATTTAGTTTTTTTTTACTGATATTCTCATATTAAGTTGTTTGCTGTGATATTGAAGGTGTGGAGCTACCTTTATAGGTCATCTTCGTTATCAGCAATTAGTACTGCATCATTGGCATATATATATAACATATATCGTGATTTTATGAGCTCCATTGTGGTATCCGTGTCGTTTTCTTACTTCGTGAATTATTTGATTCATCACCATATTGAATTTGGTTACAAAGGATCCGATAGCAAATAAGGAACGAGAAACAGTCTTTGGAAGTCATACCTTTGGACGTGTTGACAAGTTTACATACCTTGGGTCGCTATTGACTGCTACCAATAAAACAAGCGAAGAAATCAAAAGATGAATAAATCTTACAAATAAGGCATACTATGGACTCCAAAAACATTTCCACTCAAGAAACATTCAATGAAGAACTAAAATTATTATATACAAAACATTGCTGACGCCGGTCCTCACATATGAAGCAGAAACATGGACTCTAACGCAGAAAGATGAAAGACTTTTGGGAATATTTGAGCGTAAAATACTCCGCAAAATATTTGGAGCTGTAAAACGACCAAGGGCAGTGGCGCAGAAGATATAATTTTGAATTGTATCAGCTCTTTGACGAGCCAGATGTCATAACGTTCATTAAAACACAGCGACTTAGATGGGCTGGACACATAATACGAATGCCAGAAAATACCATTGCTAAAAAGCTAACCACAGGAACACCTGTAGGAAAAAGAAGCAAAGGCCGACCGCGAATTAGGTGGTTAGATGGAGTAGAAACCGACTTACGAATATTAAAAATCAGAAGATGGCAACATGTTGCCAAAAACCGAACAGAATGGCGACGAATCTTAGAGCAGGCCAAGATCCACAGAGGATTGTCGAGCCAAAGATGATGATGATCACCAAATTGAATAACAATGGGCTGAGCAAGTCTCCTTGGCGGATTCCTCCTTTTAGTTATATGCATTATGTTTCTCCTGTTGGCATTATAACTCTGTTTGTTGTTCTTGTTAATTTCATTAATTGTCCTTATTATCTCATGGTCTATTTGTTCAGCTTGTAATAAATTTAAGATGTCATTTCGCTTCCCCCTGTCAAAAGCACTTTTTAAATCTACAAAGCACATGTATGCTGGTTTTATTATTTTAAATCTATTTATTATTTTTTTATTTTAAATCAATTTATTATTTTTTTACCACCACAAAACTTACCCCACCTAGTGAGCTTACGCCTCACGAAAAAGCACCAGTGGACAGAGATAAAGTTTTTTAAGAGAACCAATATTATTCCAAGATAAATTTTTTGGCAATGAAAAGAACAAAACACACCTAATGCACTTACTTAATAGACAATCTTAAAACTACTCTATGAGAAGTATATTTTAGTGTCAACCAGGCTAAATCTGATGCCGATACAGTCGTTATCCGTTCGGCGCTTGCTGCATTCCAAGCTTATGATTTTGTAACTGTCGTAGCCGAAGACAATAACATTCTTGTCTTCTACGCAGCATTAGGTAGGAAGCAGTCCAATGTTGTGTGTCCAATTTTTTTAAACATTCAAAAGTTTTATATATAGCGACGTCATTGCAGAGAATTTCCTGTTTCTCCATGCTTTTCCTGGATTCGATACCACATTAGTAGCTTACAAGATTGGCAAACATAAATTCATTAAAATTTTACAGAAACATCCTGAGTGAGCTAGCGGAACAGCATTATTTTTTCAGTAAGAAAGCCGAGCTATTGCCCACTGTCGTTGGCGAACGTTTCGTTTTTTTATATGGATTAAATAACTTAAAAAACGCGCTACCAGACTCTACCTCATAGGTGGCCCAGAAAAAGATCGATAGTAAACTAATAATACCACTGAAATGTTCAAACAATAATAGATTATATGAATAAAAAAACGTAGAATAAAAACTAAGTCTAATGGTTCGTTTTCATCGTATTAAAAATATTCAAGAACCCAGTCAACTTCGCAGTGCTGTAAAATCCAGAGAAATTAATGAAATTAAATACATTTGTAGTGAAAATTATTCGTTGTAAACTCTATAATATTGCTCCAATGTATTTTTATTGTTTAATAAAATGAAAAAAAAAAGTTATAAGGTCCAAAAGAAAATTTGCTCAAAAAAAAAATTTTTTTTCTAACTTTACTTTTGACTTTATAACTTTTGTTATTAACTTTTTTTATTTTCCATTTTACGATAAAAAGTAATGAAAATAAAATTGTAGATAATTTACAGATAATATCTTATAAAATTATGTGTAGGGATACCAGTTTACAAGATACAGCGTGAAAACCCTTTGCGCCCCTTATTCCAAGATGGCGAGTATTCAAGAACCCGGTCAACTGAAGAGAAATTAATGAAATTAAACAAATTTGCAACGAAAATGACTCTACGAAAAACCTTTTATAATATTTCTTTGATATTATTTTATTGTAAAGTGACCAGAAAAAAAGTTGTAAGGCGTAAATAAAAATTTTATCAAACATGATCAGATATTTTTGTTTATAACTTTTTTTTATTTTCAATTCTACAATAAAAAGTTATACAAATAAAGTTGTAGAAAAATTAGTTTTTAACAAATAATGTTTTATAACATTTTCTGTAGGGCTGCTAATTTACTAGATATAGCGCGAAAGCCAATAGCCCTCTTTTTCCAAGATGGCGACCAGGGGACAAAAATTGTGACTACACAAACTTGAACTTAGGATTATACTAACAATCCCCAAATATGAAAAAAAAATAAAATTGTGTCCTCCTAAAAATGTAATCTCAATGCAACGTTTAAATGGACTAGAGACCTTTTGCTGTGTAATGATGTTCAGTAGTTCTTTGGGTATTAACTTAAGACTTGGACTTAAAACTGTTTATTTGGCATACTATCGACTTATGTAATTTTAAATAATCTTTGAAAATACTACATTTTTATTCTTTTATATGGTTTGGGGATCCCATTTTAAGTAAAAGTTTATTAAATTTAGTCAAAGCTTTTCAAGCCGTTGCTATTCCTTTTTGTCATTTTTCATGTACATTCCATTTACTGTTTAAGCTAACATAACATTCAACTTACTTCGATTTTTGATATCGCGGAATAGTTATTTAGTGAGAAAATGGCCAAAAATAATCCCTTGAATAATTTCTAGATTGTCTTCTATAAATCTAAATATAGAATCTTTCATTTGTCTTTTTCACATTTCCGCTGTTAGCGGATAGGCAACGAAAAACAAGTATTCAATTTGTACTATCCAATATGTAACAGAAGTTACTTTTGTAGTATTTTGGTGTCAACTAGATAGTTAGCAAATATGGAACAAAACTTAAATTCTACAGTTGAGCACTTAGAGAGTCATTCGATTCAATCAAAATCGGCGTAATTGGCTTCAATATGTTAACTCAGTAATTTAGTATTAATTTTTATAATAGGGTTAATATAGCTTTATGCAATAAATTTTACACCCACCAGGCACAATATCTGGTTTTTCTATGTTGACCTTGGATCCAAAAGAGTATTTTGGGGCATCGGCAGTTAGGGTCTCGGCAATTTTGTAGACATTGGGAGCTAAATTAAATAAAAATAGTAAAACAAAAAATTAAAAAAAAAAACGGTATCATTAAAATATAAAAGTTGTTCTTTGTTATCGAAATGACGTCTCTTTTGTTCCATTGAAAAAATGTTTGCCTTTAATGTAATTTGTCTTTTAGAATCTATGTGTTTTTTTATTTTAATTTAAATAGTACATTTTCCATAATATAATATATACTTTATAATAATAATAGTACATAATATAATGTGTTGTGACAATATAATATATTTAATACAGTTCGAGTCGTTAGTTCGTATTGTAGGGATATGTATGGTTCAAAAAGCTATAGTTATAAAATCCCATTTTTCTTTTCATTCTTTTAAGTACAAAATTATTAAGTATGATATATTTCCGAAATATCCTAACTTTTAAATAATTGATGGATTCGACCGTTACTTGATGGAAAATAATTTTATGTAAAAATAAAACACGGAAAACTTCCACAAAATTTATTTTAAATCTTATCACTACAGCTGTTTCGGCTGATTGCCTTTCTCAAGTGACCTATTTTTGGCTTGGGTTTACAAATTTATAGTCTCTAATGAAATAGGTTGAGGAGGGGAGAACTGTTTGTCTCAAGTTGGTCATTCAGAATTATATCTGTGTTTTTTAATTTGTTGATTTCCATAGGTTCTAACAAAGATAGCTTAAGGCCTTTATTTTGAATGAGAAGAATTTTAAATTTGTCATTTAAAGAATGATTATGATCTAGAAGGTGAAGTGCGTATGTCGAATATGTTTTTCTATTCTTGAAAGCCCTTTTATGTTCTGCTATTCGTTTATTAAAGTTTCTACCAGTTTGACCGATGTAAGTTTTTGGGCAGTCGCCACATTGAAGTTTGTACACACCACTATTTAAGTGTTTTTTATTTTGGCTCTTATTATTTTTAATATATTTGCCCAGGTTGTTATTTGTTCGGAAAGCTGGTGTTATTCCTTTCTTTTTTATGTGTTTGGCAATTTTTGTTGTTATTTTGCCTGTATATGTAATCGAGCAGAATGTACTGGCTTTTTTCTCTGGTCGTGGATATACTAATTTCAGGGCTTTCTTGTGTAGTTTTTGATTTAACATTTTATTAACTGTTTGTTCGTTGTATCCGTTGTTTACTGCTATTTGCTTAATTATATTTAATTCTGTCTCAAAGTTGTATTTTGACATCGGAATTTCTGTTAATCTATGTAACATACTATAATAAGCTGAAAGTTTATGTTGTGTTGGATGGGATGATCAATTGTGTATAGTCGTGTCAGTATGGGTAGGTTTATGAAATATGGAGAAGTCATGTTTGTTTTGAAGTCTGCTAATTTTTAAATCTAAAAAATTTATGGATTGATTTTGTTCTGTTTCTATTGTAAATTTAATATGACTATGAAGTGAATTAATATACGTAAAAAATTGGTCGAGTTGCCTATAATTGTTTTTTAAATTGACAAATTTAAAATTCTTCACATTCAAAATAAAGGCCTTAAGCTATCTTTGTTAGAATCTATGGAAATCAACAAATTAAAAAACACAGATATAATTCTGAATGACCAGCTTGAGACAAACAGTTCTGCCCTCCTCAACCTATTTCATTAGAGACTATAAATCTGTAAACCCAAGCCAAAAATAGATCACTTGAGAAAGGCAATCAGCCGAAACAGCTGTAGTGATAAGATTTAAAATAAATTTTGTGGAAGTTTGAAAACAAAGTTTTCAGTGTTTTATTTTTACATTCCAAATTTTTTTTTACAGTTCTAGCCAAGAGTCCCCTCGCCCTGACGTATTTTTTTAACGGTTATACCTATAATAGTGAAATTTGAAGGGAGAAAATAAACTTACTTAACTAGTCATAACAGGTGACATAATAGTGATAGATAACGTTACAGAGCCATATGATCGATAATTTTAAATGGGACCTTATGGCAAGTGATATCTCGTTTAAAAGGTATTGAACATACTTATTCTATCATACTAATTTTGTTTGTGTTTAAGCTGTTTTTGATGAATATATTAAATATTTAAGTATAATAATATATAAATAAATAGAATGATAATTCTTTAATTTTGAAAAACTTACTTCGCTAAGTTTTTTCAAAACTGTTTATACTCTGAATATTTAGTCTAAGGATTGTTTAACGAGACGTTTAAATGTTTAAATAGGCAGAATGGTACGTACTGTAGCCGACAAATTAGCAGCTGTCTTAATAAATGGTGAATCTGTGAACAATTTCCATGCAGCGGAAATTGTTCACAGATATAGTTCATCCTATATCGAGGATTTATTGATTTGGGAACAAACAAATTTAAATATTATGTCATGCGGAAGATGCCGCATTAATCGCCGAGACATAAGACCAGCTCCAAAGATTAACACACATCTCAGTACAACAGCCAAGAAATATAATATGATAATTTCAGCAAAAAAAACAAATGTATAACAACATCTAAATGCCCACTATGATGTAAAATCGAAATTGATGTGAAAATAATAAAGCTGAAAGCAAGGTTTAGATATCTGGAAATAGATATAACTAGTTACAAGGATGTTCAAGAAGAAGTATGACAACAAAGCTTAAAAGCCAGTAAAGAGTGGTAAAAGCCAAGACCTGAAAACGAGACGACTACTAGAAACAAAAGAAATGAAAATACTCCGACGAATATCAGGGAAAAGTCTGTTAAATAGGAAGAGAAGCGAAAACATAAGTAGAGCATGCAATAAAGAAAACATACATAAATGGATAGATAACAAAACGGGAGCAGGAGTAGAATAAACACATTAGTAGACTTGAAAAAGATGAGATAGTACGAATCTTACGAGATAAGTCGCCAAATGGACGAAGAAGTATTGGCAGACCAAGAAAAAAATGGTGCATAATTTATACAACTTAGGAGACTAATATTGAAGAGGAAACAGGCTTTAAAGCCTTAATACAAGAAGAAAGAAGCAGAAGGTCCTATATCAAGGACTTATTTAAGGGAGCTTCTTCGGAAGTTGCCACACGATCTGGTTGACCAATAATTAGTGATGACAAGAAAATATCATAATGGCAGAAATGGTAGTAAACCCTACTTCTTGTACAGTCCAATTTGTGTCTATCTGAGGAAACAGTCAAAGGACACTACACCGAATGTTGGCTAAAAACAAATTTCATCCACACAAATTAATAATTATTGTGCACCAACTTTCAGATAATGACCCTGACCGAAAACTACCGAAAAATCCTGTGTAAATCTATCCAATCAAATTAACTAACAGCCAGATTACATATAAACGATTGGTTTTAGCGAGAAAAGTACTTTTTCTCTCAATGAAAAAACACACTACATCTTTCGTGAAAAACATACCAATATTTCCAGAAAAAGTCAATGTTTGGGCAGGTATTTTGGGAAACCACATAGTTGGGCCTGTTTTTCTTAATGCCAGCCTAACCGGGTAAAGTATATCTGGAGATATTAAAAAACGGAATTTACGTTAAAGGTTAATTCTAGAAATTCTGGAAGATAATCCAGATGACCTCCGCAACTTGGAAATAACGTTTCAACAAGATGGTGTTCCTGCGCACTATTATAGTGCAGTTAGACGTTACATAGATAAGGAATATCGTTGTAGATGGATTGGACGACGAAGTACAATAGAATGGCCAGCTCGGTCACCGGGCCTCACACCATTAGGTTTTTTCTGTGAGGTTACTTGAAATCTAAGGTTTAAAATCATCTTAAACATAAACAAAATTAGTATGATTAAATAGGTATTTTTCATACGTTTCAAACGAGATATCATTTGCCATAAGGTCCTATTTAAAATTATCAGTCACAGTGGCTTTGTCACATCTATGACTATGACTAGTTGAGAAGCCTTCTTCTTCTTTAGCCTTAAGTAATCCAACTTTGGACATAGGCCTCCCCCAAAATCAAACCAGTGTCTTCCATTTTGCACCACTTGCTCCCAGTTAAGAAGCCTACGTTCATTTATTTCCTTTATTTAAAATTTACTAGTATAAATATAACCGTATAGAAAATACGAGACGCTTTTGGTTAGCACTGTATAATCTGCATCATTAACCAAGAAATTATTGAAAAATATTAATAACAAGTATAAAGATAATATATAAAATCTTGTCATAAACGTCATGAAAGCGTATAAAATTACCTGGAGTGTCTAGTGGTTTATCTACATTAGTCTTTAGCCCAAATGTATATTTTGGAGCACTGTCATGTATCACTTTTTCAGCCTTATCTGGATTATAGTCTCCGGGGGCCGGGAAATTTTCAGGCTTTTGATCTTTTGGCCTACTATGTAAACTTAATGCTGGAGGTGTGTCTTTACCTGTAAAAAATAGAACATTTTTTATACCTTGTATATATAAAGATAAGACCTTTATTTTTTACTATAGAGTTAATTATATATTTTTTTATTTAATATATTTTAGGTACTTAATATTTAATATATCACTATATCTGGAAATGCTTCACCAATCGTATAGCATTTCAATATAGCAATATACAAATATAGCATTGCAAAAGACACGGTTATTTTGAAAAATAGTTATAGATAAATATTAAGTCTTCTTCTTAACGTGCCCTATCAAGTCACCTTGACGTTGGCGATTAACATGGCGAAACTGTCTCTGTCTCGAGCTATTCTAAAGAGTTGCTCAGCTTTCTTTATTCCTGTCCACTCTCTGATACTCTTCGACCAAAGAGGCCTGCTTTCTACCAATTCCTCTGCGTCCTTCGATTCTTCGATCCTGCTGTCCAAAATAGGCCATCTTTCTACATTTGATGTTATCAAGCAGCTCCCGAGCAGCATTTGCTCTCTCAAGGACTGTCAAATTTGTCAGCATAGCCGTCCATAGAATTTTTAGTATACGTCTGTGCAGCCACATTTCAAAGGCCTCCAGACTATTAATGGTGGATATTTTTAATGTCCATGCTTCGACACCGTATAAGAGGATTGACCAAATGTAGCATTTAATCATATGCTTTCGAAGTTGAAGTTTCAAGTTATCATTACAGAAGAATGACCTCATTTTTAAAAATGTCGTACGGGCTATCTCGATTCTACATTTTATCTTTTGATCTGGATCTAGTTGGTCAGTAATATGGCAACCAAGATATTTAAAAACTGGACACTCTTTGAATTATATGACCATCAACATATAATCGTGCATCTTGATGTGCTAAACGGCTAAACACCATGTATTTTGTTTTTGAACAGCTTATGTTTAGGCCAAACTCTCTTCCCACTGTATCAATGGCATTTAAAAGGCATTGTAATCCATTCATGTCATCACTTAAAATAACTGTATCGTCTGCATATCTGATTGTATTTATCAGAATTCCATTAACTTTCACGCCTTATTCCAAATTATGCAGCGCTTCTTTAAATATTTTATCTGAATATAAATTAAATAACAGTGGGGCTAGTATACAACCCTGTCTGACACCTCTCTGTATTTTACATATTTCTGTTGATTTTCCGTTTATGCAAGCTGTCGCTGTTTGACGCCAGTATAACTTTTCTATGAATCGTATGTCTTGACCATCAACTCCTTTATCTTTTAATATAGTAATTAATTTGTGATGTTGTTCTCGATCAAAGGCCTTTTCATAGTCAATAAATACAGCAAAGACGTCTTTCCTTTGATCTCGATATTTCTGCAGTAATACATTTAGTGCAAAGAGGGCGTCCCGAGTTCCCAGTCCATTTCTGAAGCCAAATTGTGTTTCATCCTGATCTTCCTCACATTTATCTCTGATTCTACTGTGGATAATGCGTAGAAATATTTTCAAAGTGTGGCTTATAAGGCTTATCATTCCATAATCTCTACAGTTTTTCGGACGTTGTTTTTGGTAGTGTTATAAATTCGGACTTTAACCAATCTTCAGGGATATCACCAGTCGAATAAACATCATTGAGAAGTTTGACCAGTATTCCAATGTTCTCCTTATTTATAAGCTTTAACATCTCTGTCGGTATGTTATCAGGGCCAACGGCTTTCTTGTTCTTTGCTAACTTTATAGCATGCAGTATTTCTGATTTTAGTATTTCTGGTCCTTCACCTTCAACTAAAGTCTTCGGTTCTTCCGGTCTATCATCATTATACAGTTCACTTATATAATTACACCACTATCATTATACAGTTCACTTATATAATTACACCAGGTTGTTCGAATTTCATGTTCTTTTATTATCATTTTTCCCGACGAATCGGTTATAGTATGTGGAGTTTTCTTATGATAAAGACCAGCTACTTCTCTAACTTTTTTAAACATATTAAACGTATCATGTTTTTCATTCAACTTTCAAATATTATTTGAAAGTACTAAATAAAATTAATCAAATTTAGGTAAATAAATATATTTATTTATAGTTAAATAATTATAAATTTAGGTAAATAAATATATTTATTTATAGTTACATAATTATTAATTTAGGTAAATAATGATAAATATATAGTAAGTCTATATTCAGTGAAGCATTAGACCAGGTCCAAGGCGGAATTAAGATTAACGGAATCAGTATGAACAACATCAAATATGCTGATGATACTGTCTTAATAGCAAGCAACGCAAAAGAAATACAAAATATAATAAATGTGGTAGTTCACCACAGCGAAATATTCGGTTTACATCTAAACGTTTCCAAAGCTAAAACTTTAGTATTTTCAAAGACACCAATAAACGAACATGTTTATGCCAATTGTCAAATAACAGGGGTTTAACCAAGGGTCAAATATCAATAGTCAGTGTAATCCAAAAAGGAAATACTATCAAGAATCGGACAAGCAAGGAAAACATTCATGAGCATAAAAACATTGTTTACACGATCAGACCTTAGTCTGCAGTTTAGAATCCGAATGATTAGATGTTACATTTTTTCTGTTTTACTGCATGGCCGTGAAAGTTGGACAATAGATTTCGAAATAGAAATAAGAATAGACGCCTTTGAGATGTATATATACAGACGAAAAATATGAATTACTTCAAGTTATACCGGAAGGAAAAATACAGGGTAAAAGATCAGTAGGTAGACGCCAGAACTCATGACTGAAAGATCTGAGGAGATGGTTCGACCGCTTATCTGCAGAAATATTTCGCGCAGCTGTTTCCAAAACTACAATTGCCATTTGAATCGCCAACCTTCGAAAGGATACGGCGCCATGAGAAGAAGAAGGTAAATAAAGGTAAAATTCCTAAAATATATTTTCAATAGAGCAGATGTGGTGGGCTCTGTCATGCAATGATTTGATAATTCCTTGTTTGCTTGAAAATTTAAATATCTGTTTATGTCAATCAGAAACTTATTTAGGACTTCTGGTCCCTAAGGCCTTGCTCATGTTTGTAAATAATGTTTTTGTCAAATTTCAGCATAAAAATATCTGCTAATAATGGAGATGATGAAATCACAGGGGCCCTGAGGGGAATACTAGCATCAGCTCTGAAGGTCCTACTGAACTTCTCTCCTCTCCTTTACTCATTAATATAAGAAGGGCGGTGAGAATGCGGTATTATAGAGTGAGAGAAAACCTTAACAATGTAATGGTTAGATCAGGACACAGCAACATCATAAATGAAATTAGGGATACCGAATGGATGATAATTTCTAAGCACATGTTGTCCAGATATAAGACTAATGTAGTTTTTTAAATGTTTATTTGTTCACGAGAGGGATGTAGTATATGAAACACTCGCACATAGATAGAACTAAAACTGAAGAGGACTGGGTACAAAAATATTCAGTAGGGCTGGAACTTTAAATATTTCTCTTCCACTAGGAAAATATACCTCTGTATTTAGTCTTCAATTGTGCAAGGAAAATAAAAATTAGAGCCTTATGGATAATCAGAGATATGCACAGATAGACAAGCAGCCATGGGGGCTCCTAGAAGCCAAAAGGTCCCCAGAGAATACACGGCAATCAAAGAGCTTATGAACTTGTCTAAAAAATATTAGCTGAAAAATATTTAGATACAGAGGCAGTACATAGATTTGTGTACCAAAAAGTAACTTCCGCTAACGAAAAAATACCTGGATTCGAACGCAACGTAAATCTTAGTAGAACAATATATCTGGTCAAATACATAAAATTACATGTATATTGGATGGTAATGTGCTAATAGGGCTAAAGTACTGGAGAAAACAAGCAGAAATTAGTTCAAAGTTATAACAACCCCTCACGGGTCAAGCGCTTGTTAAGGGATACCTGTATACAAAGACTCTGTAGCAGAGAACCTTATACTGTTAACCAAATCTAGCATTATTGTGAGGTATTAGATCGAAGGCGGCAAACACTTTATGAGACTAACAAGTGACTTCAAAAACATATGGTATCCATACTCTAGACCTGCAAATGCTGGTACAAGGTGCCAGAATCCTGGAATGGGTATCATAAATAAATACATCATGCACAATAAAACCTCTGGCTGTAGTACGGCCAGTTTATAACAAAGGGCTTTCAAAAAAATAAAAATATATAGTATATCATTGATATATTTTCTTGTACTGAGTAAAGTATTATTATATGATTGTTTGTGATTAAATCATTTGTTGTGTCTTATTTTAGTATTCTGTCCAGTGTTTTTTGTCTAAAATTTCGGCTTTTATTTTACTAAGTTTACAATTTTCAGGACATAATATACTTCATAGTATTATATTTTGTTTTTGAGCTTTTAGTTCCATCAGTATTCTTTCTGAAACGTATTCTACACTTTTGATGTTCTTGGCCTAGATTTTAATCTATAAAAAATCTGGTGTAAACACTTTTTCTTCTTCTTCTTTTTCTTTTTTCTATATAGACGTGGCTCTGTCTGTTTTTTAATGTGCCTCCAGTAAGTTATCGTTCCATTGTTTTCGTGGTATTCCTACTGATCGTCTTCCTATTGACGAACCGTTCTCTCCCCGTTTTTACTGTTCTATTTATTGTCATTTGGCTTATATGATCATTCGATTCTACCTTCCACACAGCCTGGGGTCCCAAGCCCAGATAAAATGTGGAGGTTGATTACCAATAGAAAAAACAAATACTGCTCAAAGAAACAATGTACAGCTTCAGCGTAAACACTTATGTTTCTAAATTAATACTCTAGTCATTCAGAAATAAAAGTCTAAATTTTTTTAATGTACAATAAACAAACAAATAATTCTTTTGTTTCAGTAAAAATTTTTTGTGTAATCCACTATTTTGTTTTATCTATCTCGAATATACAATCATACTATCGAATAATACACCAAAATATTCAAATATAATACGGCTAAGCAATGCCATCGCTATCTATTTATAAATTTAGTTAAATAAACATATATTCATATATGCAGCTAGCCAAAAGCTATAATATTATTCAATTGTGTTGTTCAAAACAAAAAAAAAATGAAAAAAATGTCAATAAAATAAAAATAGGGAAAGAAGATATACAATATTAAGGAAAGTTTATAAAACAAAATATAGTAAAAGAGAGAAATTCATTGATACGTTAGGAACCTTACATAATTATTGAAAAAGTAAAAGAGATTGAGCAGCATAATATGATAAACAGGAGATACGTTCATTAAAATATCCATAAGATATTAACATATAAACGGTTAATGAAATTAACACACATAAAATCAGAGGGAAATATTTTAATCAGTATTTAGAAAGAAGGAAAAGAAGAAAGAATCGTGTTTATTGCAAATTGAAAGACATGAAAGAACTAAACTAAAAATCATTAAATAAATAAAATCGAAGAATGATATAAATAACTAATTGATTTAAAATAAGAAAAACAAATAACAACAGAGTAACTAAAAGTAGCGCGAAATTGAAGATGTATGCAAAAAAAAGTGAAAAATATGAAGATAATTTCAAAAGCGAGGAAAACAAAAAATAATTGATGGAAAAAACTTACATCGGTCAAACTGGTAGAAACTTTGATAAACGAATAGCAGAATATAAAAGGGCTTTCAAGAATAGAAAAACAGATTCGACATACGCACTTTATCTTCTAGATCATAATCATTCTTTTAATGACAAATTTAAACTTGTTCACATTCAAAATAAAGGCCTTAAGCTATCTTTGTTAGAATCTATGGAAATCAACAAATTAAAAAACACAGATATAATTGTGAATGACCAACTTGACACAAACAGTTCTCCCCTCCTCAACCTATTTCATTAGAGACTTTAAATTTGTAAACCCAAGCCAAAAATAGATCACTTGAGAAAGGCAATCAGCCGAAAAAGCTGTAGTGATAGGATTTAAAATAAATTTTGTGAAAGTTTGAAATTAAAGCTTTCAGTGTTTTATTGTTACAGAAAACATAAAAAGCTTTAATAAAAGAGGATTTAATAAGGCATTACTTTTACTTTTCGTTTGAGTTTGTGGAGTTGGAATAATGGTGTTGAAAGTTTGAGTTCTGTCTTATATTCGTAACAATAAGTCCTGGTATTTTTAGGATATCGATTAGTTTCCCATGTGGCGCTTTATCAAATACCTTCTTAAAATAAATGAAGCATGCATACATGGCATTGACATCCTTGGCTTTTCATATTATAACTTGCAAACTATGTGTTTCCCTTGTTTCTAGTCCTGCTCTGATTTCAAATTGAGTTTCACATTTGGTGTATATGCGCGAGTGAATAATAATAAGGAGTTCCTTAGGTACATGGCTTATTAAACTAATTATATGCTCTTTACATTCCCTAACATTGGCTTTTTATGGAAGTGGAATGAATATTGATAATATCCAGCCTTTTGGTGAGTGGCCAACCTTATATATATATATATATATATATATATATATATATATATATAATATATATATATATATATATATATATATACATATATATATACATATATATATATATATATATATATATATATATATATATATATATATATATATATATATATTTATATATACCTTGATTTTGACTTGGTGTGCTTCTAATTGCTTTAAAATGACACAAGTCAGTTCATTAGGTTTTGGAAATTTTTTTAATTCGCTTATTACCTACTTCTTCGTTGGTTTGTTATTTCTGGGCCGTATGGATTATCTAGTTCTGCTGGTCTTCTTGCTGTATCTTTGAACAATTCTTCTCTCTTCTCTACCTCAAACTGTGCATATAAAAATCGTCATGTTTGCATTGAATTGTTTAAATTTCCATAAATTTCTCCATCAGCCATACTTCCTTTGATCTTTTTTATAAGAAGGATATTTATATTTTTTCATTTAATCTTCGTTTTGTCTTACATTCATATTTAATATAACTCTTTTTATTTATATCATTGTTTCTTTATTTTTAACTATTTTCACAAAATAAACTTTTAGTACCTTCTTGTATTTGTTATAGTACATTTTTAACATAATCTAGTCAGCTTAGCTTCTTTGTTTTTGTATAATTTAGTATAATATTTATTCTAAATAGAACATAATTATGTTCTATTTAGAATTTTATTCCTAACACCTGATACTTCTTAAGAACTGTATTATATGTACTCTTAAGTTTTATTGTAGTTTGTATACTATAATTATTGGTATCCTAACTTCTTATTTTACTACTATATACTGTCTGTCTGATTACAGAATTCTTCTTTTGGGATTGTACAGATCGTTTTATTTAGAATATGTAGACTCCAACCAATAGGTATTTCATTTTTTTACAAAATATTATTACAGACTATATTTATCATTTTTTTATCATTAACACTATTTTAAAACTAAAAAAAAAAAATTTTTTTAAATAAACACGTAGGTACATATTTATATAAAAAAGCCACATTAATTAATCCAAATACTTAACGTTTCAATCTGAAAGTTACACGATATGTTTACTCAGTAAGAAACGAAATTAATTTAGCGCTTACCTTTTGCACTCATTCCCGTTATGTTATATTGGCCCGGACCTGGACCGATGCTTTCTAATTTTCCATTTTGCCTTGATCCGAAACTAAACGCTGGAGCTCGCTCAGATCTTGACTCGGCAGTTCTTCTGCCTGGAAGTAAGCACATGTATATATGAGCATGTCGTAAAGAAAACAATTAAGAGCTAAAAGAACTGATTAATAAATAAAAATGAGTCTAATTAAAATAAAAAACGCAGGCCAAAGAATAATAAAAAAAAATAGTTTTAAGCAGCAGAAAATACTTAAAGGTACTATAAACAATACAAAACCTTCCGATTTCTTTATAACCTTATATATTTTTATATTTTCACCTATTGCATTGAGGTTCTGCTCCTTCCTTTGCGTATTTCTGCAGGTTTGTCATTAATCTCATATCATCTACTACTTTTCCTGTTGCCGTTCCTATATTTTTTACCAAATCTATTTATTTATAGACTATCCCTACTTCTTTTCTTATAACGATATTCTCATATACAAAATGTATTTTTTAAGTTTCGCTGGTCTAGTTCTGTTAATATGATCATATCAGTTTAATTGTTTCATCTAAAATGTTTCATCTCCTCTTCTTCTTCATCATCTTCTTTTTATGTAGACATGACTCTGTCTGTTTCTCAATGGTCCTCCAGTAAGTTGCCGATCCATCGTTTTCGTGGTCTTCCTACTGATCGTCTTCCTATTGGGGAACCGTCTTTTGCCGTCTTTACTACTCTACTTGTCATTCTCCTTATATGATCATTCTATTCTACTCTTCTATTTCTTACCCAGTGCTTGATGTTCTTCACCTTGCATCTATGTCGTATATCTATACTTCTAGCTCTGTCCCATAGTATTTTACCATCAATTTTTCAAACCTGTGGCTCTGTTTGCTCTATTTACTTGATTTTCCATTTCTGTTTCGAGCTTTCCGTTGCTAGATATTGAGATGCCTAAATATTTTTTTTTTATTATTGAGTTAATGCCTCGACAACTAAGATCATTGGCATGGTACAGTCAGATACCTAGTGTAGTGTGTGTGTGTGTGTAGAGTAATTGTCTTAATACTTAGCAAAGTCGACGTCATTGTCTTTGCTAAGAGACGCTAATTGTATCCGAACGTCTGCGGTTCCTCCGGTGAAAAACTCCATCAGTTATTCTATTATCTAACCTTTCAGCTCCAATTTACATCTTAGTATTTGTCTTTTGTCTTATTTGTGGAAATTAACATGTTAAATTTTCTGGAAGTTACATTGAATTGATGCAGCATACGTAAAGCATCTTTAATTTGAGAGAGTAGTATTGCATCGTCTGTATAGCAGATTATTTGAAGTTGTTTTACTCCCATTTGGTATTCTTTTTTAGTTCTTACCATTTTTATTATTTCATCTATAATCAGGTTGAACAATAGAGGACTCAGGTAATCTCTCTGTCTTATCCCATTGCCAGCTTCAATAAGGTCAGTAAGTTCTTCTTCTTCTACTTTTACTTTTTTCTGTATTGATTTGGTTGATATTTTCAATCGTTTTCATCAATCGAAAAAAAATATATAAATGCAAATTATATACACTTAGGCCAAAACCAAATAGAAGTCCAAGAGTCGTTTTATTTAAAATATTAATAAATAAAATTGGTGGTACAAAGAGAGACATATAAAGAAGAATAAGCATTGTGCAAAATTCTTTTAGCTAACTGTGGGAGGTCTGGTCTTTTAAGAAGATAAGTAAGAGATCAAAACTGCGTCTCTTTTAAACTAACATAATAATAGTTTTTCTATATAAAAGGCGGAATATGGAAATAATATAAGTAACTATGTCTCAGATTATAGTCCTTTATAAAAAATGTTTACGCTTTACATACATTGTTTTCATTTGCAGAATTCATAAAGTAGGAAAGATAGACATATCGAAAAGATCAATGGGAAAGGCCATGGTATATGGAATTAAGTAAAAAAATAACAATAAACAGAAGACAATACCAAAAATTTGGTAAACAAGATATTAAACGTGATTAAAGATAACTTAAATAACATAATTGAAATACTGCAAGGTGTCCTTTGTCTCACTATGAGTTATATATGATAAGATGATAATTAGACTGAGGAGAATAATAATAATATAAAAACAGATTTAAAAACAGTGTTAAGAAACATGTTGAAAAAAATTAATGTCGACAGCACTGCATATAGACAAGAAGATGCATATGTCCAAAATGTAACTCACATTTTTTATAATGATATCTATGGTATACCAAAACAAAAATACAGTTAAGACTGATATGATTACACGTCTATTTATATGTATCAATACATATGTAAATGTTTATACTTATAATGGATAACCTTAAAACAAGGTTAGATACTGACACTACACCTTAATTATTTTAATTATAATAAGTGAATATTATTACCAATCACTTTTATTACTTTTTATTTTATATTTATGTTTATATAAGCGATATATTAGATGGGCTAAAACGTTGCTAATAGTTTTTATATTACAGTTTACGTCATATCTTGTTATTGTAAATAAATCAAACTGGTAAAATAAGGAAAAAATAACAAATTTCAACTACTTCTTGCTTTAACTTAGAAACCAAGAAAGTATGAATTATTTTTTCCTGTAAAGTTAAATTTTGATTTAAGATTATTAGGGAAATTTGTAGATTTATCATCCTTTGGTTTTTGAATTATAATTTCAATACTGAGCAAATGCAACGGAGCTGGTTGTCTCACGTTAATAGGTCACTAACTTTTAGGTTGCTGTCTACTACGTCTTCTTCTTTTGTCATAAAATAATAGAAAGTAACAATTGGATAGTAATTTGTTTAATTTTGTAGTTAATTTTGTACTTTTTTTGTAAAAATCTAGGCTTCAAGGAATCCAGGTATGTCAAGTATGCAGAAAACCATCAGACAAAATTCTGAAAATTACCTGTAGAATAAAAAGCTAATGCAAATTGTCGAGGACAACATCCATAAGAACATTACCATAAGAATCTGTCACTATAATAGTGCACGAGGTGACAGAAGATATCAAGCCAGCACTGAACTAAGGTATTGGAACCCATACAGCATGAAAGAACAAATGAAAACGTGCTGGACGAAATATTAGATATGAAATGGATGTCGTAACAATTCAAGAAATGAAACTGACGGACAATTTCAACATGAAGTTTCCAGGATACAACATATACAAAAACGACTAGTGAGAAAGGAAATAGTCTAGTTCCACATAACATTGACCTTTAAGTCAACGTGTACGGCACTGACTGCCTTTAACACTACTTGACTGTCTGAGTAAATCACAACTATATTGTACTCTTTGTATTGCGGTAACTATCATTTAAAATAGTATAGAGTATGTTTGGAAACTCGACCGTACTTTCCATAGGTTTTTCTTGTTCCAAAAATGCCAGTTCCTGTACCTATATCTGTTTTTGAACCATCTGTATAGCAACAACAGCTTTCCATTATTGTCGGGCCGGTTTCTCAGTCTTCTTTTTGGGTATCTTAATATAAGATTATGGTAAAGGTATATATTAAAACCATTGGGTCCACTGGTATTCCTCAAACGGGATAAGCCTTTATTTCCTGATATAACCTACTTGAGGTCTCTCTTGCATAACAAATATAGAATCCTGAATCGGTAGAAGCCTGTAAACTATAGATATAGCGTCTTCTTGCACGTATATACGAGTAGTCCTTTTAGTATTCTTTTTTTAAGTTGAACTGCTGATTTTTGGAAAATAAACATTAAAAATTTACATTTACATCGGCTGTCCCAAATAGCTTTACCTACTAATAATTCATCGTTCATCAGCATAGAATATAGTTTTTTCCATCCTTGGACAACCACCTCCTCATCATCATCATCCAGCCTCAAGAGTCCACTATGCTGAACATAGGCCTCTTCCTCATGTTTCCAACCCCGTCTATCTTGCGCCGCTCTTATCCAATTTTTATTGATTCTTCTTAAATCGTCAGTCCATCTTGTAGGTGGTCGACCGACGCTTCTCTTATCTTCCCTTGGCCTCCATTCCAATAACCTCTTTGTCCATCGCTCATCTGTCATTCTGGCTATGTGTCCTGCCCATCTCCATTTTAGTCTGGCTATCTTCTCGATGATGTCAGTCACTCCGGTTCTTCTCCTGATGTCTTCGTTGGTTATTCTGTCTCGCAGAGTTCTTCCTAACATGGACCGCTCCATTCTTCTCTGCGTGACTCTCAGTTTGGTAGCTGCTGCTTTTGTTAAGGTAAGTGTTTTTGCTCCATACGTTAAGACTGGGAGGACGCACTGATCAAATACCTTTCTCTTTAGGCATGTGGGCAGCTCACTTTTAAAAGTTTCTTTCAGTTTTCCAAATTCTGCCCACCCAAGGCCGACTCTTCTTTTCAGTTCATGAGTCTGGTTATCTCTGCCAATCATAATTTCATGTCCCAGGTATTTATATCTATCTACGAGTTCTATTTCTTTCCCACCAATACTGATGTTCTGGTTGGGTACCAAATTGCTCATGATTTTTGTTTTCGAGATATTTATATTTAAACCTACATTTTCTGTAGCCACAACGAGTTCCTGTACCATCTCTCTTGCCATACCTAGATCTTCAGCTATTATAAGTATATCATCGGCGAAACGTAAGTTGTTTAGATATTCTCCATCTATTTTTATTCCCTTTTTCATCCAATCCAAATTCTTAAAAGCATGTTCTAGCACCTTATTAAAACGTTTAGGTGACATTGGGTCTCCTTGTCTAAACCCCCGTTCTATTTTTATGCGATTACTGTTAGTATGTAATTTGACAGTGGTTGTTGCCTGCAGGTATATTTTGTATAATAATTTAGTATATCTATAATCTAGCCTGCATTTTTTAAGCGCCTGTAATATTTTGCTTAGCTCAACTGTGTCAAAGGCTTTGTGAAAATCGATAAATATTAGAACTAGAGGTTTATTGTATTCCACTGCTTTCTCTATTAGGGTTTTTATACTTTGTAGATGGTCATTTGTTCCGTAACTTTTTCGGAATCCTGCCTGTTCCCTTGGTTGATAAGTCTCTAACTTTTCTTTCATTCTCTTAACTAGTATTCGCGTAAACAACTTATATATATATATATATATATATATATATATATATATATATATATATATATAATATATATATATATATATATATATATATGGCTGAGGAGGCTAATCGGTCTGTAATTCTCTAAATTTGCTTTGTCTCCTGCTTTGTGTAATAGAATCATAGTAGCGTTGTTCCAGTCTGTTGGAATATTGGCGCTGTGAAGGCAGATATTGAAAAGTTGTTTAATTTTTTCAAGTAATACATCCCCTCCAATTTTTAGTGCTTCTATTCCATCTTCACCCGGGGTTCGATTATTTTTCATTTTCTTCAGGGCTTCTTTGATTTTTGATTTTGTTATATTGGGCATTAAATCTGATCCTTGGTTTATTACCCCAGTTTTTAGTGTAATTGGAGGTTCCGTATTGTTTTTTTTTTCTTGATCTATATAACTCTGTGTAGAACTCTTCGACTATTACAAAGCACGTGGTGTTCGTGTGTATTAAGGTATAAAAAAAAGGCGCTTATTAAAAGCTTAAAATTTTTTTATTATAAAGAAGATCTTTTCGGAATTGTATTATTCCATCATCAGTTTAATAAAAAAGGTTGTTAAAAAACATTGTGTGGCCACATAAAAAACATTCGATGGACATCTGGATTTAAAAAATAATAATCTTCATGTTATTTATTCAGGTAAATGCAATAGACTCTTGACTTGTGTAATATAAAAAAATGAAACTTGGGGCATCTTATATGACCCCCTGTAGTTGGTGAGGTTTTATTGACTTACATTACCTCTGATCTGTGTTGGAGTCTAGGGCTAACTGATCTAGGGCTAACTAGGACTAACAAATCATTCTTCGATTATTCTTAATATTTCATCTCTGTTCGTTGTTTCTTCTCTATTTCTGTTTCTCAGTTTGTTAATTTCTATTTTCCCTTTTTGTACGCTCCTCTTCAAAACTTTCATGTTCTTATTTTTCTATATTGCCTGTTTTGTTTTTTCTACATTGTAGTTTCTTATGTCTTTTCTTATTGCCTTTGTGATCGTCTTATTTATTTGATTTATCGCTTCTTTGCTTGCAGTGTTATCTCCTTTCATTTGTCGCCTTAGTTCTATAAGGGTTTTCGTGGGTTGACTCAGTTTTTCATCTTCCACCTCCTGCCACCGAATTATTGGTGATTTTTACTTAAAGAGTTAATCGTTTCCACTATGGACTCTAACGAGACATTAACATTTTTTAGCGAGGGAAACTCGCTACCACTACCTCTCTGTTTTCCAATAACTTTAAGAGTAGTATGTTCATTAAGTCTAGTAGTTCCTAACTGGTATCTATATTGATCATGTCTCTTATGTCCCTATCCAATAATATTTCCAACGTCTTTGTTAAGAAGACTATTAAATGTATACGGATAAATTGCCTATTACTTGGATGTTCGGTCCGTTACCATATCGACCTTCGATATAGACACCTACGTAACCCGTACCTTTTTCCACGCCAAGAAAATGTATCTCCACGCAAAACTTGCTTTAAAGATTTTACCTAGATTCGGTATAAGCATAGTGTTGTGTAGAGGGACTGGAAAAATTCTACAGATTTCAAAAAGCTTATGGGCTACCATGGGCTACAAGCTAAGGCTTGACCTCATTATAAATTATCTTTACATAGTAAAATTAATGCCCTGAAGACGCATTAGCTCTGAGACGAAAATAGTAATAAATCTAATGCAAGATAAAACCAAACTTGGAAAAAGCTAACGAAGTGGACATCGTCAGCAAACGTTCATTCTAAATCCTTAGAATATGTGGCTTTCAAATCCTATAGAGCATGGACCTGGGGTAAATAAATAACCAAATAGTAAGTGATTTAAAAGACAAAGCCATCATACGAAGAGCTTATTTAAGAATAAAGATAAATTGAACAGAAAGATAATGCAGAATATACGTGAATAAACAAATAAATATTAGAATAAATAAGAAGATATGTACGAATATATAATACAGAAACTATTTCGAACGTAATTCTTCTTCTCAAAGTGTCGTATTCTTTCGAAAGTTTTAAAGGTAAGGTTTCTTTATTTTATTATTCAGTTTTGTTTCTTTTAAAAGTCTTCGCAAGATTTCTTCATTCGTTACTCTGTCTACGTAAGATATTCTCAGAATCCTTTAGGAAAGCAACCACTCGAAATCTACTACTTTTCTCATCATTGCTTTAGTCAGAGTGCCTCCTTCAATACCACGTATGGATACTAAAAATATTATGTAACAGTCAGAAAAGTTTTTGACCGAAGATGGATAACGAGACAAAGGGAGACCGAGACTTAAGCATCAAAACAATTTATAGTACAATTTAAAATCTATTGGAGTTAAAGCACGAAGAAGAGTTACCAGTGACAGGAGCGAATGGAGGATTGTTCTTAAGAAAGTTTTGGCTCATAACGAGCTGTGGTGCCACTGAAGATGATGCTAATGGTCGTATTTCTTTTTTCGTTGCATAGTCTGGTCAATTAGTTTTGGAAGTAATAGAAAGTAAATTATTAAAAAGAAATGCAGCAGAAAAACTAAATTATTTTCATAAGCTCCATGGTCCAGATAAACAAAAAATAATCCAAATAGTTGAAGATTTCTGCAGCGGGTTATACATAAATTGTAAAAATGAAAAAACAAATGAAAAGTGCTTCTAACATTGACTTACAGTGCAGGAACTTTAACACAGTAAAAAAACCTGTTAAAAAATTCAACATCAACTTATCGACCAATCAATGTTGGTATTAATGGCAAACGATTTCCAAATTCCATTATAAAAGCCAGAACAGAAATTAAAAATGCTGTGGAAATAATACCACATATAAAATGAAAATGGTCTCAGTAGGAAAAATTACGTTAGTAATAGAAAGTAGTTACAGTAGTAAGTTGTAGTAAATGGTAGTAGGAAGTTTATAAATAATTGATCATAAGGAAAAGTTGATATATGAATAGTATGTAGCAGAAAATAATGTATTTAATTAATTTAAGTATTCGTGTTTTTGATATTATTATAAAATAGATTATTTGATTTGGTAAAACTTAGGTAATGTAAAAAAGGATGTAACATGGACTATTTGAAAAAAATAATGTGAAAACAATATATCATTAATGTAATGATACATTTCTTTTAGATTAAACAAGCCGTAGTCTGGGATTACTATTATAAAACACTGGCAATAAAAAACTACATACGTCATCAATATTTCAAGTCTCGTGCAGATTTATTTTGTCTGTTCATTACTTACCTATATAGGACGGTAATGCCACGCATGCTGGTCCAGGACCCTTGAATTCAGCAGCGATGGGTCCACGACGCTTTGTTGGAGTCCAAGGTCGCTGTGTCATTCCACCCATTATTAATCTGTGCACAATAAAAAAATTGTTATAAGAGCTAACAACCTGTAAAATTTATGTAACATAATTACCAAATATGTTTCCAACGCAAACGAATAAATTTTGATAGTTTTTAATAACTATTTTTCAGTGCGGAGAGCGAAATTTGTTTTTACGGGAGATGTAATCGCTTGATACTTTCATAAGTAAATAAAAAAATGTCATTATGTACTATATTATTTATGAATTTTAAAATATATTTATACATTTTGTAACGAGAACATTACTTTAATATTTCGTAAACATTTTTTGAATAAATTTTAAAATCCCAATCCTGTTAATGATTTTCTAAATTCTTAAAATTTAAGGTGGTATGTCACAATGTTAAAACTTATATACTTTTTAGGTACAGTTATCGTCACTATTTCAAAACAGATCTTCAAGTTATGATTATGTACGTAAACTGTAAACTTTCTATTTTAATGATATCTAGTTAACATTTTCAAAAACAGCAGTATTTTTTTCATAACTGTACTTAAATGCATCCATGTCATAACTTACGTGGTAACGTGCCTAAAAATTGGTATTGTGAAATAATTATTGAACTTAGGTGCAAAATAACTACGTTAAATGATTAACTATCCAAAAACCTTTATTTTAAGCAAATGTTTGTTATCCATACTGCCGTAATTTTTAAATTAACTGTACCTAAAGATAAAATTATAATTAAAAGCTGAAAACTAGGGATTTTGTTGATGTTACCGTAATAAGTTGGCATTTTGATAGTGAGAAATTAGTTCAGCTATCACTTAACAGATGAGAAAATAAGTTCACGTGTCATTTAGTAGAAGGCAGCACTGATGTATTAAATAGCGATAGATGCGCGTTTGCCGAATTTAAGAAAAATCTGCAAAACATTGAAAACTAGTTTTGTGGTTATTCCAATTGTCTATGAGTTATGCAGTAACTATAGTAACGAATCACGTGGTTTTGTTAGCAAGGCGGCCCCTCCCAGTAGTTAATATTGTGGCTTCGTTTTCGTTTGACTTTCTTTCTGTTTCTATGTTCAATCATGATTGTATAAGGGAACAATATTTTAAATATACAAGTATACCATGTTTTTCCTTGGCACCCTGACGTTATATAATCGTGGTTGAAAGTAAAACTATGGTCAGTAAAGTTTACTGCGGGATTATACTGGTTTTTACATAATATATAAACGTAAAAACAATTCGTTTTATTAAATTTTTAACAAATTTAATTTTTATAGACAAAACAATAATATGTAATGATCGATTAAATTTTGTCGATTAATTATTTCGGAAGAAAATAAGATTATTGATATTTACTTTAATATTTACTTGAGTCATAATTAGAAACGAGATGAAAATCTGAAATTTTCTGAGGAAAATACTTCCCCTGTTGACATTCGATATGAAAAAATTGTTATTATATATTATAATAATTATTATAAATATATTATTAATAATTAATGTTATATATTTTAGATTTCTTATAAATACTGTTTTTATACATAAATAGTCGATCCAATTACCATAATCCCTTTTTGATCATTATTTACCTGTTTTTCAAACAATTGCAAATTTCTTTTCAGTTTGAAATAAATATTTTTGGGTAGATAAATAATTCAGACTATTCGCCTGAAATATGAGTAATAAAATACCTCCAAATGAATGAACGTTTTGTGTATACAAGGTCAAGTAACAAAAATCCCTAATCAGCACATCCAGCTGATTGCTGGTGTAAGTGTAAGGCAATTAAAATTTATGACGTCTGGGAATGTAGTATCATCTTTCATATTATAATAATAATATTAGAATTGTATAGTATGCATAGATACAGTTAGTCGAATTTGGGAAACTGTATTAAAATAAAATCACACTTGTGTAATTTGATACAAAATTAAGCTTTTTGTACAGTAGACTTGCGATTATCTGAGGTAATTGGGACCGTGACTACCTCGGATACCGAAAGAACTCTGTCACTGAGATTGGTTATACTGATAAAAAAATGTGTACCTATGTTAATAATGATTAATGTGTTTATTTTAATAACTAAAAACTGATATAAAAGTAGTATAAAAGATAAAAAAAATTAATTTATAAATGTTTTAAAAAAGTCTTTGATTGATTTTTGTTTCAACTTCATTCCTCTTTTTGGGGCGGCGATGTTGCGCCGACGTTGAAAATGAAGGACGTCTAATGGTGTTGATTCTTCTTGTTGCTCAATGTATACGAGAGCTGCTTCAAGGGACTTAAATCCTTCGGAATGAGAAATCTTTTGAGTTATCCCATCTGTATCTTCTTCTTCTTCATGGGTGACGTTTAGACCTAGATTGGCAATTGTATCATCTGTCAGTTCCACTTCTTCATCTAGATTCCTCCAATCGATGATGTCTTGGTTTACGATTGTTTGTTCTACTGGTAATTGATTGGCTAGGTGGGCTATAGAATCAACTTTACAGTCATCAGTTTCATTTTGAACGTCTTGTGTTTTGTTGTCTATCTTAAATAATTTTTTCCACAACTTCTAAGTAGTGGACATTTTTACGTCGTCCCAGGCAGATGCAATCCAATAGCAAACATCTTTAACCGTGATCTTCTTCAATGCCTCAATTACAGTCAGCCCTTCATCCAGTTTATAGTTAGCAGTGGCTGAAGATATGCAGAGTACCTTGAGATATGCAGACGATATAGTCCTGATAATAGATAAGAAGGAAGAGTTACAGAAGATGGTTAAGAAATTAGATAGAAAAGCGACAGAGATAGGTCTAGAGATGAACTATAGTAAAACCAAGACTATGACAAACCAAGAAGACCAATTAGAAATAGTAGTCAAACAGAATAAATTAGAGCAGGTGGCAGAATACATATATCTAGAACAGATAATAAAGCTGAACAGGGACAATTAAACAGAAGAAATAAAAAGAAAAACTAGACTAGCATGGGCCTCATTTGGTAAACTATCATATATTCTAAAAAATAAAAAGTTCCCTAAATATATGCGAACGAAAGTATTCAACCAGTGCATTTTACCAGTTATCACATATGGCTCATAAACATGGACTTTCACAAAGGAGAACATCGACAGGATATCCAAAACACAAAGAGCAATGGAAAGACAGATGCTGGGTATCGGTCTTAAAGACAGGAAAAGAAACTCATGGATCAGAGAAAAAACAAAGGTGAACGATGTATCAAGACAGGTTGCAAAACTTAAATGGAACTTCGCCGGTCACACTCTCCGGCAAAAAGATGAAAGATGGAATAAGCGAATTCTACACTGGAGACCATGGGAAAAGAAAAGAAAAAGAGGAAGACCACAGATGAGATGGACTGACGATCTTAAGAGAAAGGCAGGAAAGGACTGGATGTAGATCGCCCAAAATAGAGACCAATGGAGATTAACAGGGGAGGCCTATGCCCAAGAGTGGGCGTCTAAGGCTGATTAGATAGATAGATAGATAGTACCTGAAGAAGCTTCCGCCGATAATTCCTCTTCATTTCTTATATAACGTTTTGGTCTAGGGTTGGATGAGAGATGTTACATGGGGTGGAAGGAACACAGCTTGTATGTCACCACTAATCAATTCCCTCACATATGGGTGGGATCGTGCGTTGTCCAACAACAACAAAGCTTTTTGGACCAATCCACTACCACCACTCACACTTCGGTTTACCCACTGTTCGATTTCGTTCGGCTTACGCTTCCAATATCCAACAGTTACTTCTCCGACATCTAAATCTAAAGAAACCTTCTTTATTGATTCACCCTTGTCCAACCTCTTAATTATATTCACTTTTGTTTCCAAAGGTGCAATTACTCTCATTCGCTTTCCACTCATATTGCACAGAAAGATTCTATCTTACACTCACAAAAATCAACTTATGAAAAATTAATTATGAAACCGAAACTAATAACTGGAATAAATTCACAAAACAGTACATAAAAGGAAAAATATTACCGTACAGATACTTAATTTGACGATCTGAACGACAGCAAACAAATCGGTAGTTCAATTCACATTGATTAACATAGAAAGGAACAGGAAGTTGTAGACAAAACACCTCACAGAAATTTCTGCACATGAAATCTCTTTCACATCAGCTTGACCTAAAGCATTCCTTAGAAATAATTCTCTTCTTATCAATAATCCAAAATTTTCAATTGATTGCCCAATATATAATAGTAATATTTCTGCTCTTTATGATATGATTGATAGTCAACTTCGTTCACTTGAGACCTTAGACAAAACTGCTGACAAGTTAGCGGCGATATTGTATCCTCTTATTAAGTCATGTCTGCCAGAAAATATGATTCGACTATGGCATCTTATGTTTTCGTGTCCATGGAAAATATTGGAAAAACTGAAGAAGTTACAACTTAAACACGCTTTAGAGTGGGTTAATGACATTTTTACAGAGTGAAGTTTAAAATGAAAAAAAATTGATTTAGCAACGGAAGCTTTTCGTTTACTAGCTGAAAATGAATATAAATTCAATAGTCTTGTTGCCAAGATAAATGTAAAATTACAAAGAACTGATCAGTCCTTAGCGTCCTCTGATGGGTTAATAAATTATGAAGTTTACAGGTGTATATTTTTATTATAAGTAATTTTTTGTACTTGAAATAAATTTAGTTTTTTACAAAACTAATATGCACCATTTAAAATGTTTACAAAAAAAAACAAAACAAAAAAAACAAAACAACAATTTAACTTCAAAGGTAAAACCTCAACGCAACACGATACAAAAATTAAAAAATGATATGAATGATCCAATTATCCAATCCAAAAATTAGACTTTGTGAAACTTCAAATCAAATAATACGATAGCGCAATTTCAACTTACATTGCAGAAGACTGCCGACCGAGAGCGAACTATACCGATTCTCCCGATCGTATATTATATTTTAAGTTTCAGTACTTGGTCTCGTTGGCAACACTGTCGCTGTTCAGATAATTAAATTTCGAGAAATCAAAATATTAAAATATGATGCACGTGCTGT